GGGGATGAAAGTTTGTATGAAACTTTGTCAGTTTTTAACTGATCGGGTTGAAATTTGGCATGCAGATAGATGTTATGACGTAAGCATCCGCTGTGAAAGGATTTTGATAATTTCCACCCCCAAGGGGGTAAAATAGGGGATGAAAGTTTGTATGAGACTTTGTCAGTTTTAAACCGATCAGGTTGAAATTTGGCATGCAGATAGATGTTATAACGTAAGCATCTTCTAAGAAAGAATTTTCATCATCTTCACTACCAAGAGGGTAAAATAGGGGGTGAAAGTTCGTATGGAACTTTGTCAGTTTTACACCGATGGGGATGAAATTCGGCATGAAAGTAGATGTTATGACGTAGGCATCTCCAAGTAAGGATTTTGATCATTTCCACCTCCAATGGGATAATGTAGGGGATGAAAGTTTGTATGAGGCCTTGTCAGTTTTACACAGATCGGGTTGAAATTCGGCGTGCAGGTAGATATTATGACGTACACGTCCCTTTAGAAAGGTTTTTGAACATTTCCACCCCAAAGTGGGTAATATAGAGGGTGAAAGTTTGTGTGATACTTTGCCAGTTTTAAACCGATCGGGCTGAGACTTTGCATGCATAAAGTTACTATGACATAGGTATCTCCTTAGAAAGGTCATGATGAATTCTGATGATGAATTTGAAATTGGGAATGAAAATTGAATCTAGAATCATTGAATCTTTTTGAATTACATTCGGTAAAACGATGATTTCGTACTTGAGTAACGTATGATAGTTTTTATCTCAGAAGTCCCTCGGGAACGGGAACTATGCGTCAATGCTCCAGGACTCTCTATCTTTTAACCACTGAACTTATTTCATAAAGATTCTGTACAACAATAGTCGAAGTTTTTATTACTCAAATTTACGTGATCGGGCCGGGACTGGTAAGAACCCTGCGAGATTTTTAATTTATTGAAATTACGATAAATCATTTCACAATAGGTAAATCTTAATTGGGCACTGAATTGATTCTGATGAATTCTGTCAGAAGTCATTAATCTACGCGGACGAAGGCGCGGGCAACAGCTAGTAATATAATAAATCTCTTTTTGCATCTAACTCGACTTTGAACGTCGACGAAAGCACCATACCACCTACCATCCCGCATTGCAGCCACTTTATGGCGGAGGTTCATTTCTCACAAAGAGATATTCGGCGGGAGTTGCTAAGTCTTGATGTTCATAAGTCGAGCGGGCCCGACGGCATACCGGCAGTGGTTCTCAAGCAGTGTCCTCCTGAATTGTGCCCTATTCTAACGCGTTAGGCAAGTACCGTCTTCGTGGAAGACCGCCTACGTGCATCTGGTGCCCAAAAAGGGCGATAGAACAGACCCGACGAATTACAGGCCTATTGCTATTACCTCCCTTCTTTCCAAGGTGATGGAGTGAGTTATCTATACCAAGCTCATTCGATACCTAGAGGAGCATGACCTGCTCAGCGACTGTTTTCGCCACAGTTGCTGGACTGGTGATCTTCTAGTGTATCTCACACATAGTTTGGCCTCGGCCATTGAGCACATATGGCAAATGTGCGTAAAAACAAACTTAACGAAAAAAGTTTATTACTGTCAGTCCAAGGTTCATGTCTGGCTGTCAGTCGTTTTGGTAAGTGTCAAACTGTCATTTGTGTCCACTGTCCAAATGTATCAATACCATAAAAACAGAGTTTAAGTGGAACTATAATTTTTATTTTATTTTATATTTATTTTACATTGTCTTACAGAAATCATGTTAGGTATTTTCATGTACATATTTGAGTTAAAAAAAGAGTTACTAGTTGGTTTTTCGTTATCAATATTGTATATAACCTATTATCTAGTGGAAGTGGTCAAGGTAAAACACTGAACAGTTACTCATACCTACTGGCGTCATTACCTCATTGTATCTCAGCTACATTAGTAAGATGTTAGCCATTTTGAGCTACGCGCTAGATATATATTGAGGAATAATTGTACACTACACTCCAAAATAATCTGCATTTATTTACTGCTCAGCTGATTTATCCAATATTGATATTATATTTAATATTAATATTATATAATTTTTTACGTGAGAGGAGTCAATAAATAATTTAACGAACAATTTTTATCTCTTCATAGAATATCTAATTGATATTTAGTATTTATTAGTTATTTCCCAAACAAAACAATATTTATTCATATATCATCAGGTGGAAGACATCCTCAGCTGTACAAAGGTCTCCCCTAATCCTTCATATTAAATATTTATCATAGTGTAACTTTTATCTAATTTCAAATTTATATCTCAAACTTTCCTTATTTCCTTTATTCTTACTATATTACTATATTGTTTAAAAGTAATAGAATAGAAATACCAGTGTACTTTTCATAGTTATATGTTTAAAATTCAGTTGAAATGCTAAAAAATTTTGTTACAGAAGCCTATACTGATATGTCAAGAAGGAGATTTTCGTCAGTTCCTAGAAGAGAATGTGCCACTACTCAGTGAGCACTATTGGCCAACACCATGGTGTGTTGAGTCACGACTGCAGACTGTTCTTGGGTCTTTATTGCGGTCTCGCCTCTTGCCACCTGTAAAATATCACCGGTATAGTTTATTTAACTTTATGCATAAAAACATTGGCACTGACACTAGTTATAGCAGCCTGCTATATAGTTATACTGTAACAATTTTAATAAATTGCAGAGAGGTGCTGCAATTGTCTGATGGTGGGCAAGTCGCACTGGACTGGGTACGGCACGAGGCGGGGCCCGCGCGCGCTGTCCTACTAGTGCTGCCGGGCCTCACGGGTAGCGCCGACGCAGATTACGTGCGCTGCCTGGCCGCCGCCGCGTCTGCTCTGCGGGCACACTGCGTTGTCTTCAACAACCGCGGCCTGGGCGGCCTACCGCTGACTACGCCACGCCTGTACTGTGCCGTCAGCCACTCCGACCTGGCCGAAGTGGTGCGTGCCGTGCGCTCTGCTGCCGGAGACGTTCCGCTGCTGGCGGCGGGCGTGTCGCTGGGCGGCCTCATCCTGGGTCACTACCTGGCCGAGCACGGCGAACGGGCCGGCGTGCACGCGGCACTGGCGGTGTCGTCCCCGCTCGACGTGGAGAAGGGCTCGGAGTCCATGGAGCGTGCCCCGCTGAACGCGTTGCTATCATACCACATGGCGCGCAACCTGCGTCGCACGTTACACGCGCACGAGCGCCTGCGCGCCGCGCCCTGTGACTGGAGCGGAGTGGATCGCGCGCGCTCCGTGAGGGAGTTCGATGCGGCCTTCACGACAAAACACTTCGGTTTCGGGTCAGTGGACGCGTACTATCGCGCCGCCACCCTGCGCGACAAGCTGGCGGCGGTGCGCGTGCCGCTACTGTGCCTGTGCGCAGCGGACGACCCGTTCCAGCCGCTGGGCGCCATCCCCGTGGCCGAGGCGGAGGCAGCGCGCAGCGTGGCGCTACTGGTGACGGCGCGTGGCGGGCACATCGGGTTCCTGGAGGGCTGGTGGCCGGCGCGGGGTGCCTGCGACCAGTATATCGCGCGGCTGGCGGTGCAGTACTTCGCGGGTCTGCTGCAGCGTCGCGAGCTGCTGCATGCCGCTCCCGACTGCTGACGGCCCGCGCGGGGCTAGCCTGGGCCCCGACTGCAGACGGTTCGGGGCTGGCCCCGACCTGACGTCACTCTACGCACACTATGTGCGTTGTGAGCTTTGCCTTAATAATTTTTAACAAAGACTTACTTTGTTAAGACTCACGCAAATATTTGTGTAAAAGCGTAGCTTTTTACACTGACAGCTACATATCGTAAGTTAATTTAGTACACTGTGATTTACTAACCATAGCATATTTTTAATTTAATATAGTTGTATGGGATTACTAAGGTTGCATAATAATTACTAATGACAACGACAAACGCGCGCGTTGTAACGTTATCTAATTTTACGCACGATTTAGACGAATCTTCTTCGTGTTTATGGGCCTTAATAGTTGTTAGTACATCCGTCGAGAGCGATGCGTTCGAGAGATATAGTATTATTATACATGTTACATTTGTTGCATTTCAGATAATTTATATTAATTATTATATTATTATTTAAGCAATTGGTGTTGTTTATTCATTACCCCACTAAACAGTTATTAAATTCGATACATTTCTGTGTGTTTGCTGACGATATACTTCGGTTTTCCCGCCACTTTTATCCAGTCATCCAAACAGTTATAGTAGTTACATATTATTCTTATCTTTAAATATAAGCAGAGATGGTGTGGTGTTCCTAGTTTCGTACATTACTAAAAATGAAGGATAGAAATGACCAAAGTTAAAAGACAATATCAGATAATATAAAATTATATTATAGTATGTACATACATAGCGATGACGGCGCATGTTCAAACCAAGTAGACGATTACAAGTATGATGAAGTAAGAAGAGTTCAGCAGGAGTCCATGTCGTAGCCAAGTGCGCGGCAGAAGGCTTGCACCAGCGCCTCAGCGTGATCGAGTCGCTCCGTCCCGCTCCCCGCCCCCACTGAGGGCCGCGCGGCCGCCGCCGCCCCCAGCGACCCCAGGGCCGCCGCGAACGCCTCCGCTTGCTCCACGGCGCGCAGCTCCTCGGCTTCAGAATCCGACTCGTCCGACTCACCTGAGCTCGACCATGACTCTGATGATAGCACTGGAATAACAAAATAATAGATCACAATTAAAATTGTTTGCAAAAAAGCAACTAAGTACCTAGTTATTTAACATGAATAACATAGTCATAAAAGCAGTGGGGACTGACATGGGGGTAAACGGGCCGCGCGGCCTTCTCGTTGCAGGCCGGGCCACACGTGCGCGTGTAGCGCGTCCCGTGCGCGCTCGGGTCCGTCGTCAGGCGGCGCGCCGCGCCACGCTAAGAGCTCAGCACGTTGCGCGGCGCTCCAGGCGGCTAGCGGCCCGCCGGTCTCGGCGTCGCATTCGGCCACCACGAGACGTACGGCGGCGCGCCTCCACGCTCCACTAGCGCCCGTCGCTCTCCTACACCACACACTATCATCTTCTAGCTGTATAGGCAAATAGACAATACACTGTTATGCTAACAATCATTAATATCATTCAGGCCCCTATATCCCCAGCACTGAGTGAAACTGGGCTGAATGATGATTATGCTAACATTCAATAAGGACATTGTTTGCTTAGCCTTAGATCATCAGTCATCTGACTCAATGATTCACTGCCACAATGATCACATATGTGACGAGTAAGAAAAGGTTTTATAATATTCTCAGGTATTATAATTGACAATGTTAGAAAGAAAAACAATGTTTTTTACATAAACACAAGAGATGTGTTAGAGGCAAGAGCAATATGATTTTATTACATTTTAACTGATTGCACAAACTTCAACTAAATCTGGTGAACAGTATTGGATTGTTTCCATCATACATGAAACTCACAACTTTACTAGCACAAAGTAAAAATTATGTAAAGTTGATCACGACCATACCTCCTCGTCAGTGAGGTGAATGATGTGTGCTTCTATACTCTCCGGACTGACACCAAGCTGCCCATTATCTGTCAGTATGTGAACCCTCACATTTGCTGTGTAATATTTATTGACCAGCTTCCATACACGATCGCCAGATTGTTCATCTTGGATGTATGTGTCCGTTACATCATTGTCTATTAGTTCTGAAAATTATTTGAATATTTACTGCCTCTAGTTCTATTAAAATCTCGATTGTTTTATATCACTGTACATACCAGAAACAATAGCCTTTGCAGCCGCTTCTTCGAAACTGCTGATCAATATTACAGGCAATGTTCCCAATGTTGACATTGTGACTGCTAAAGTAGTTCTTGTTACACAATAAATAACACAGCAAACGATATATCTCAACGATGTTAAGAACAATATTTTCAAAAGGCACTAAAAAGTTAAGAACAGTATTATATTAGAATGTAAGGTAAATAATACGTTTAGAAGTCCCGGCAAAATATGCTAAAATGTATTTTTATGGATAAGCTAAATGTCTGTAAATCAATTTATTCACTTAACACTATTTTCATTCTGCCGGGAAGGTAGTAAAAATATCACACCTAAAACTACACGCATTTTTATTAGGTACTCTAAATCCTTAAAAGTGCTACAAATATTTCTATTCAATTTCACGAATAACGATGGAAATTGGAATGTATTTTATTTTATTGAATTTTGTCCTACAATTTTGTCGTCGTCTCGTTGTTGACATGAGTGACGAGTGAGACATGACAGGTGACAATTCAAGACATCACTTTGATGTTTTTGACATTTTTAGAAGGAATGACATTTGATTGACCATAGATCAGATTAAAAGGATGTAGATTATCGATTATATTACATTTGATTGATGACTTAATATAATATGATTTCAATATTAAATTAGTGTAATAATGATAAAACATTCGGGAATAAAGCGCAAATCTTGATAATATTACGTTTTTCAATTACTTTGCTTGTAATATATATATTACTTAATAGACTAGTATTCAGTTATCTTAAGTCAATGTTTAATCTACAATAATGTGACAATAATCTACTTACGTCAAAGCTAAACAAGCAGACGTAGCTCTGCTAGACATTTTTTTATCATTCATATTTTTGTAGGTCCTATTAGTGTTTTCTGTTTTGACTTAGCAATTTTGTTTTTATTTTTATTTAATTTATTTTCGAGCAGTTTTTTTACTATAATGTACTATTGATATTCTAGATAATATAAATACGTGTTCATTATTGTATAAAAATAATTTTAATAAATAACTTTAAAATGAAAGGTGCAAAGTTGTTAACGTGTGCTAATCGCTGCATAGCAGGGAAAACACCTCAACTACCCTTGCCTGTGCACAGGTATGTATAGGAATTCACGTAAATTCCATAAAAATTATTAAATTTCAGATATATCTAACCATGGCCTTGTAGTTCCATAGTCCACGGTCACTTGGACTTTGTACCTCAACCTCATTATTTATAGACAGCTGACATACTTATTTAAAACTTTATCTCTGATTAAGGTCAACCTTTACACTTATAAATATGGCTTTTAGGAATTAAATTCTAATTAATACTGATAATAATAATTATACAATTGAGTTTAATAATGTAAACTCGTTTGACTAAATAAGTTAATTTTTAGCTGTTTATTGTATAAACTAATTCAGTATTATTGATGGGACTATGTCTGTGTAGTATGTACACTGTTTACTCTGTGTATATACACTGAGGCACACTGTGTATGTTTCTAGATTAACTCGTCGAGTACGTTCATTATAGACACAATTATAAAACAATGGGTTGCAGTCACCAGTGACCGCTTGGTGTTTGACAGTTTAATAAGTTTTTTTTTTACACAAAATACTATTTTGTTTTTCCTTAACTTGAAGTTTATGATATAAACCAAATCTACATTTGTATTCTATGTGATTGCGTCAAGGGATTATTTTTAGTTTCAGAGCTTTCTTTTATATTGTTTGTAAGTAACTTTTGAAAGTCAAACTTTCACACAGTTTAAAAGTAGTTGAAAATATAAAATAACCTTTCAGTTAATTGAGGTTACTTGATCTTGTTTCAATGCAAAGCTCCTTAGATAGAAATGTTAGTAAGAAACTTACCTGGCATGGGATAAAATCATGCCTTATACATTTATTTTAAGAGGGTAGGTAAAGGTAAATGCATGTTCATGTAACACCCACATTTTGCCAGTTACATTATAAACCCTATGTTATTGGCACAGAGTCTATTCCCATACATGAGACAAATTAGTACGAAGGAAAGGATGTGATATATTTGTTTATTTTAATATCAGTGTTTTTAAAAAGTATATGAATATAAGCAATAAAAAATGGGTATAAACTTTTTAGCAGATGGCTGGCCACGGAAGCGCGTCAGGCTCCTGCCGAAAAGCGTGGCGCTGCCCGCCAGAGTGCGTCATTTACACTAAACCTATTCCGCGGCCACTTGGAGACCGCACAGGTGTTCCCCTACCCTGAACCCTTGTCCGATGACCAGCGCCAAATGCTGCAGGAGCTCGTACCACCCGTAGAAAAGTTCTTCCAAGAGGTAAGTAAGATTCTCGTCAATAGTCATCGTAATAAGAATTTCATCGTAAAGAAGTTAATCGCGTGTTGCGCGCAGCGCGATATGAAACAACACGAGGTTAGAATTAGGCTGCTTGGTTTCAATTCCAAGGTCCCAACTTTTCTAGAATAGTACCCTATGCCCTTAAAACGATATGCACCTCTAAAGGCATTAGTCTTCCACATGTAACTCGCCAACAATATGTCGACTTTGTTGTACACATCACTTCACTTCTCTTGGCAATGGTTCACTTCACATGCTTTAGCGCCGTGCAAATATCACGTGGCCAGCCGCCAGAGTTTGTAGTTGCCACTATGATTACAACATAAATCGATTGCTAAGTTATGAATTGAATTCATTAAGACTAGCAATTTTATTACAAAACGTTTAGAATTTTAGAAAACTAATATAATTCGAAAAGAACATCTCAATAATTATTTGACTAACTTAAAGATCGCCCAATACCATACCTCAGGTTCGGTAGTCGCACATCATACCTCAGGTTCGGTAGTCGCACATCATACCTCAGGTTCGGTAGTCGCACATCATACCTCAGGTTCGGTAGTCGCACATCATACCTCAGATTCGGTAGACGGACTTGCATTTAAAGTTATAATAATTGTTTCAAATAAAGGACATGATTTAATTTGTAATTAATTAATTGTATTATTTTATTAAAATAATTTATTTTCGCTTGTAGGTAAACGATCCCGCCAAGAACGACTCGGATTCGAAAATAGAAGACAACACAGTTGGGGGTCTGTGGGAGCTGGGAGCGTTCGGTCTGCAGGTGCCGGCGGAGCACGGCGGGCTCGGTCTGTCCAACACGCAGTACGCGCGCCTCGTGGAGGTGGTGGGCGCGCACGACCTGGGCGTGGGCATCACGCTCGGTGCGCACCAGTCCATCGGCTTCAAGGGCATTCTGCTGTTCGGCAACCCCGAGCAGAAGGCCAAGTACCTGCCGCGGGTCACCGGCGGGGAGTACGCTGCCTTCTGTCTCACCGAACCCTCTTCTGGCTCCGACGCCGGGTCCATTAAGTAAGTACCGCGCATTGTACTTTCTCACTAACTAGCCAGTACCTTTATTAATATAGATGAATAGTTTTTAAATATGTATTCATGACAATACCGCCGTATCAGATAAACGAAGTAGTAAGATGTGAGTGTTCGACAGGTCCCGTGCCGTGCTGTCTCCCGACGGCAAGCACTTCATCCTCAATGGCTCCAAAATCTGGATCAGCAACGGAGGCATCGCCGAAATCATGACTGTCTTTGCACAGACACCCATCGAGAAGGATGGAAAGACTGTCGATAAGGTACACATCTAAATATTTCAACTAAGCTAGTTAGTATACAAACTACTTTGTACATACTTATCTCGTAGGTATCTCGTGAGTGTATGCTACAGGTGGCATATTATTGTACAGGTGACGGCGTTCATCGTGGAGCGATCCTTCGGCGGAGTGTCGTCCGGCCCACCCGAGAACAAGATGGGCATCAAGTGCTCCAACACAACCGAGGTGTACTACGAGGACGTTAAGATCCCCATAGAGAACGTGCTGGGCGGCGTCGGCAACGGGTTCAAGGTGGCCATGAACATCCTCAACAACGGACGCTTCGGCATGGCCGCCGCCCTCGCCGGCACACAGCGCTCGGCCCTGCGCCAGGCCGCCGAGCACGCCGCCACGCGCGTGCAGTTCGGGAAAAAACTCGCGGAGTTCGGCACCATACAGGAAAAGCTGGCGCGCATGGCCATGCTGCAGTACACCACCGAGTCCCTGGCCTACATGGTCAGCGGGAACATGGACACGGGAGCCACGGACTACCATCTCGAAGCCGCCATCTCCAAGGTAAGGGAGCGCTGCGCCTTACCTGCCTCACTCTCCTATCTCCAACTTGTTCCTTTTTTTACTGATTGACTTAAATTTTTTTTAATTACATTTTCCAATGCCAGATAAATTTTAAGTGAGGAATATCTGTGAACATTTGTCAATTCTTCCATACTAAAAACTGTCAAATTTCAATCGGCCCCCAAGTGTACAAGAATAAGAAGTATACAACTTATTCTCTGTGTTGTGTTGTTCAGGTCTTCGCGTCGGACTCAGCATGGACGGCAGTGGATGAGGCTATCCAGATTCTGGGTGGTATGGGTTTCATGAAAGCCACCGGATTGGAGCGAGTGCTGCGTGATCTACGTATATTCCGCATCTTCGAAGGCACCAACGACATCCTGCGCCTTTTCGTGGCGTTGACCGGCATCCAGTTCGCGGGCTCGCACCTGCAGGAGCTGCAGCGCGCCTTCAAGAATCCCACGGCACATCTGGGGCTCATCTTTAGCGAGGCCGGGCGCCGCGCCGCAGGGGCCGTGGGCCTGGCGCGCGGACCCGACCTGGCGCCCCACGTGGCGCCCGAGCTGAGGCCGCTGGCCGCCGAGCTGGGGCGCTGCGTGCTGGAGCACGGCCGCACGGTGGAGGCGGCGCTGGTGCGACACGGCCGCGGCATCGTGGACGAGCAGTTCATACTCAACCGCCTGGCCAGCTCCGCCATCGACGCGTACACCGCGGCGGCCGTGATGTCGCGCGCGTCTCGCGCCGCGCGCCTGCACCTTGCGTCGGCGCCGCACGAGCTAAAGCTGGCGGAGGCGTGGGCGGAGGAGGCGGTGACGCGCATGCCGGCGTCACTGGCGGCGACGCGCGACAGCCGGTCGCTGCGCCAGTTCGCGCGGCTGGCGGAGCTGGGCGGCGCGGTGGCGGCGGCGGGCGGCCAGCCGACCCCCAACCCGCTCAATCTGTGATCGTGCGATCTGAACGTCTCGGTGTTCTCCATTTTCCGAGTGTGAAGAGTTCTAGCAAGTATTATATTTAGGTAATTGTTCCAAGTCTTAATCTCACGGGTTCATATTTTTTGACTTTGCTATATTTAGTACCAAAATTATGTGACTTTCTAATCACTGAACCTAAATCAAATAAAACAAAATGTAAATAACTGTACATAGATTAAGTCGAATAGGTGTATTGTTGGTCATAATCATAGCTATAGTAGTAAAACAAATAAGGTAAAGTTGTAAATGTGTGCGGTCTGCAGTCTGTTGCCTACTGTCTTAATTTCATTTTATTTACGTTAGTAGGTGCCACATTGAAATTTATGCCGCCTCAGAATCAACTAAAATAAATAAATAAGGTAGCTTATACAAAATATAATTGGAAGATGAACTCTCTCTAGTACAAGACAAAAATCATCGAAACATAAAAATTGATTTAGCTATTCTCGAGTCTTAGTTTTATTCATGCAACACATAAAATATATAATTATGCTTAATAAATTATAATTTTAATAAAAAAGGTATGTGTGTTTTATTGAATATAAGCCCAAACAACTGATCAGTTTCATTTTCAGATGGAAAAAAGTAAAGGCTCAGGAGTTACAGATAGTGTGTGGTAAACAATCCCAAGGTTAGGTATATTGGGCGACAAATCTAATCTCTAGGGAAAGATTACTAAGTAGATTTTGACAGGAAATGGGGTGCTGGCGAAAGCTAGTTGATGACTTCATAATTAAAATCCTTTAGTGATTTTGATTGTTTCTTACCATATTTATTAACTTACTATATACAAGAACTGGACATAGGCAGTAATCATGGCTAACTAACTAAAGGTGCTTCTAAACGGGCAATATTCTTCTGCCACACAGTGGCTGGCAACATTGCAAGTGTTGCTAAGCAACATTACATTCACTAGATAAACTTTTTGAGTTCTTTTGGTATGTTCATCCAAGGACGTTGAAAAAAAAGGCGTACGTAATGTTACTTAGAAATGATTGAAGCACCAAAATGTCAGTGGTTTAATTATGTGTGTGTGTATTCTGCGTATAAGTCTACAGTAGCTAGGTGCCACAGTCGTTTCAAGAGACTGTCCGCCTTTTTTCAACGTCCTTGTGTTCATCCTACTCCTTCTTCTTCAGTTAATGGTTCCATTAATTGTTCCGGTCCTGTGGACCCACTAAGGCCAATCGTGGTGCTATGCTTATAACTCGATGATAGCAGCCAATTTATACGTCGATTTGAAGCGAAGAGTCCCAAGCGCGAGCGTTAACTTGTCTCAAAGTGGAACGCAGCGCCGCTCCCGGGCCCAGCGTCAATGTCAGCGGGAATGCCTCGCCCCGCGGCCGCGCGTACAGAGCGTGCAGCGTCTGCTCCCACCGCACCGGACGCGACACGTGCCGCGGGAGCTGGCGCCGCACCGCCGCCGCCGACCGGTACACCGCCCCGTCCACGCACGAGTACACCGCCAGCCGCGGCGCGCGCAGCTCTATCGCACCCAGCGCCTCGCGCAGCGCCGCCTCCGCCGGCGCCATCAGGGGAGTGTGGAATGCGCCCTCCACGCGAACGCGCGCTGCGCGCCTGATGCCCCACTCGGCACCGTATTTCTCTATGAAGCGCAAGGCTTCCTCATCCCCGGCTAGCACCTTGCAGCCCGGGTGCAGGTAGTTGGCCACCTGGCAAACCGGCCCCTCTAGGCCGCGCTCGGTGGCGTGTTCGCGCGCGCGGTGCATCGCAGCAGAGAGGCGCGCGTCGGCCGCCAGCCACACGGTGAGCATGCCCCCGGGGCGCCCCGCCGAGGCCGCGCGCATGGCGGCGGCGCGCAGCTCCACGAGTCGCAGTGCACGCTCTAATGACAGGGCGTCTGCAAAGACGAGCGCGGCGATCTCTCCCAGCGAGAAGCCTGCCGCGGCGCGCACACGTTCCACAGCGGCCGGGCGCTCCTCGCGCAAACGCTCGAGCGCCGCTAGTGACGTCACCAGCACTGCCGTTTGGCAACGCCGCGCTAGCTCGTCCTCAGGGCCCTCGAGGCACACGCGAGCCACATCCCACCTGTGCCAACCGATGCTTATGTTAGATTTAAATGGCGCTAAGCATTCAACCGTTTGTGAACTGTGTGTTATAGGGGTGAGTAATAAAATTAAATCCTAAATACACTACATGCCGCGGGGTGTGGCGGCGGGGGTTAAAAAGTGGGGAATAAATAAGTCGGCATAGCGCGGCTGCTTGACGGCTAAATTTCTTGCCATGCTATTTCGATCTGCGAAGGCTCATTGTTTCATTAATCCTTTATTGAAAAAGTTTGCTACTGAGCAGACTTCACTGATGCAATAGACTAATTTGATAATGTCCGAACTTTTGTTGTCAGCAAGACTGTAGGAGCCTGACTTCGATTCCAAGGTGTGGCAAAATAGTTTTTTTATATTTTTAATTATTATAATAAATCTGTAGGGAGGTCAATTCTGTACATAAAATATATTTAAAAAATAACTATCAAGGGGTGGTTAGAGATCGCTACAGATGCCAAAAATGCAATCAGTTAAATTTTTGTCTGTCTGTCTGTCTGTCTGTATGTTCGTTATGGAAACAAAAACTACTCGACGAATTTTAACGAAATTTGGCACAATTATTCTTCATACTCTTGGACAGGTTATAGTATACTTTTCATTACGCTATGATCAATAGGAGCAGAGCAGTAAGGGGAAATATTGGGAAAACGGGAGAAGTTACTACATCAATACATAGTATAAAACAAAGTCGCTTTCGCTGTATGTCCGTATGTATGCTTAGATCTTTAAAACTACGCAACGGATTTTGATGCGGTTTTTTTAATAGATAGAGTGATTCTTAAGGAAGGTTTGTATGTATATACATATTGCACCCGTGCGAAGCCGGGGCGGGTCGCTAGTTTTATAATAAAAATTCGGAACAGAGGTAGAGTATGGTGTGATGTAATACATTGGCATTTTCCCCCTGGGATCGCGGGCGAAGCCGCTGGCAGAAGCTAGTATTTTTAATAAATTCATTCTTATTACTATTTAGGGCTCGTACACAAAACGGCGATGCGACGTCGCGTCGCAAAAATGTGCGATGCGTAGAGGGAACTCGCACATTTATGCGAATTGATTCGCATTCCGCATCAAAATCTCACTTATTTATCTTCCCAAAATCTTTGTTTCTTTTTCCTGTATCTCCTAAGCAATAACAAAAGTGCACACTTCATTTTACGATCCATGTCACGACCTAGTTTTTACTTTAGATTTAAAATACGTTTAGTATGGTTGACGGTCGTCAAAGGAATGGTCACCCCGGGAGACGCCGTGTCGCACGAAACCACATCGCAGCAACAGCAATTCGTGTCGTAATTTTCTGTGTTGCGAATTCGCATCGCATTTTTGTGTACGAGCCCTTAATTCTTAGTATCTATTACCACTAACTCTAGAATTGTGTTTGGTATAATTATGGCATTCAGGTCCCTATTTCTTTCATGAAATTAATGAAAGTGTTAGATAGGACAATTTATATTTCATACCTATTTGTCAATAGATTTCTCATAGAAAATTTTAAGGTCTAGTGAATTTACCCAACAATATTAGATGCTAGGTCGTAAAGTTGTTTGGCTGCTGGGAAGTTTTGTAGAGCACGTCCCATTCCCACTTGCTGAGAGCCTTGACCCGGGAACAATAGGACGGTGGTATCGCGAGGATCCACTCGTGGCTGCACAGGGTCGGGCCGGCCCTTGATTCGTGCTGGGTATGGCTGGGTTGCCCAACGCATCTCGGGCTCTGCAGCTTCCACTTCAGATTCACCAAATGAACTTGCATCATCTAACAGCCGGCGAAGAGGAGTTTCTTTAGGTGCCTTCGAACATTTTAACCGTGACCTTACCAACAGGCGAGGCGGTAGGGCCTCATAAAATACACTAGTGATACGCTGCATTGTTATTAGGACGTATTTCTATTGAGAAGTACCTATACACATTTAAAAGTGTTAGCAGTTTAGACTTGCTTTCTACAAATTCAGGTTACACCTAACACCAAAATTACAATAATCACGGTGTGCAATTAGTATATGGTTAACATTAAATAAGTCACCCCTTTCATATAAAAATAACTATTATTTTATGCAAAATATGTATAATTCGAGGTTATACAAATTTAATATCAAAACCTTTCTGTGATATTATTGTCTGTCAAAACATCACATTGACATTGGCATTTACAAATTTTGACATTTGTGTATATTTAACCATATAGAATACGGAATTCCGTACTCTATGGTTGTTGCGTAGTCTAGAAATCTCAGCAAAACAGCCTATTGATAGTCTATGCGTAGTTTTCGTACCTCTATTATTCAGTCAGTACCACTCAGTAGTAGTCACTTTCATCAACCAACCATTTAAATTTTCAGCCAAATCATAGTTTCATCCATCCATCCACACAGTATTATCGGCATTTTATCTTTTTTCAGTTATTATTAGTTTGTGGTATTTGTTGTCATTGGTGCTAAATAAGGAACAATACTTTATTTGGTGTGAACTGTTAATTTACTGGCATCGTTAGAAAGTTGGTAAGCATAGATTTTATATTCTAGATTTTGTGTGAATTTTAGTTGTAATGAATTCGTGGTAGATTGAAATCGCGCAAAATTGTTATTGTTTATATATTTTGACAGCGTTCCGTTGTTGATAAATGATAATTTTCTAAAAAACAACCTTTATTTACGTGGAAGGTATTGAAGTTCATACTTAACCTATTCATAAATTATTACAGCTGGCTTTTTTACATGGCATGCTTAATTTGTTGTTACAATCGCCATTCTTTAGTATCGTAACATTTGTACATTATTATTTCGAAATGCAGAAACAAAGAGAAAGTGCATAAGCCAATCAATTATTGAATCATAGTCTCATAAAGTGTGTTAAAATTAAAATAAGAAGTTGTTCGTTCTAAAGACTGAATAATATCAACAAGTGTATGACGTCCAAGATAAGGCATGAAATCAATTTCTCTTTAGTTTAGCTCATGGTATATTTACTAGACTAACTCACGAACTGCATGGGGTAGTGGTATCAATCGCGACTGCTTAGTTAACAGGTGTCAATTATCATGTTTGACACAGTTAAAGTAGTATAGGTTTAATGATTTATACTCCAAAAAAGCACTGAGTCCATAACCTCTATTTAGTGTAGTGCAGTCGACTCCCTATTACATTGAACTGGGAATTATAAAAATTGTATGGTGAAAGGTGTGAAAGTACCAAAAAAATGCACTCAAACTTTTATTCAGAGTGTAACTAAAGACTGGTAGAGAATGGCATTAACTTGTCGAGTACCGGTTTTGTAGACACAATTATAGAACAATAGGTTGCGGTCACCGGTGACCGCTTGGTGTTTGACAGTTTAAACCCCTCTGGTATGAATGGTGTGATTAATTTCCTACCACATTAGCAATATTTATAAATAGAGTACTAATTTTCAAATTGTATTCAGTGTTAAAGAATGGCACGAGGTCAGCAGAAACTACAATCACAGGCAAAAGCTGCAGAGAAGCAATCAAAACTGAAGAAGCAGCAAGGCCACAGCGCCAATGACCAGAAGAAGGCCGCGCAGAAAGCCCTTGTCCACGTCTGTGTTGTGTGCAAGGTAACTAAATACTTGTTTACGAATCTATTGAATATTTCACAGTGCAACTAGTAAGAAACAAAGCAAGAACATTGCAAATTTTACAATTTTAGAGTAGATATTGCTAATCAAAATTGAACCTGGTCAATGGTTAATCACTGATATATCTTCAAAAAGGTTATGGACCACCATTGTTTATGTCTCTTTGACTATTTAAAGACTTTATTTACAGTCAACTAGAATGGTATTTTACTAATTTTGAGTTTCTACATTTAGATAAATATTGAATATTTATGTAGTAAATCTCTCTTGTTGTTAGAGATGGTACTTAATAAAATTAAAACCAAATGTTATGGTTAATAATATAACTTTAGAATAAAGCAATGAATTAATTTAACATTTATTTATACACCAAGTTATAGGCACAGTTTTTTGAAAATAGAAAATAAGTTTATTTATTTATTTTGTTGTTTTGCTGCTGACTGCTGAACTAATTGAATATAAATAAAATAACACACAGATTTCTTTAAGCTTATTTGAAGGAACCTGTGTCTCATTGTGTTTAGGCCCATCTAGTAGTCACCAGGGGAGGCGTCTGATCAGCATTGGAAGTCTTGTGACGATGATGAAGAATTACTCATTTATACTTGTTCCTCAATTATTTTCAGGCGCAGATGCCCGACCCTAAAACCTACAAACAACATTTTGAAAACAAACATCCCAAGAATGACCTTCCAGAAGACTTGAAATCCATCTAACGCCTATGACTATTCTGTAGATTTAACATTTATTTAACTTTTAAGAATTGTAAAGATATCTTCATATTGAAACTGCAATTGTTTATTTCATTATGTTTGATGCTATGTTTTTTATTAACTAAATGGAATGAGCACTTGAAATGCCACATTTATTTGATGCCATGTAGTATTTCATTCTGCGAGGTACTCATGCATCTTGGTGCAAGTCGATTTAAGTAGCTTGCAACTTCATTTTCTGGTACTTACCTATTGTGTTAAACCTGTAGCAGTACCAACTATCTTCCATTTTCCATCTGTTTTCTGTTTTTTAATAATATAAAATTAAACAAAATGCCTATATTACTTTGTATGTAATATTAAACTACCGCTTACCTACCTATTGTTCTTGTAATTTTGGGCATAATACCTGGCACTTAACTTGGCAAGAATTTCTAGTAGTGGGGTATCTAAGCGTGCACATTGTGTACTTACTAATTATTTTATGGTTATTGCCATTATTTAGTTTTAATCTCTTGAAAGAAATCAATAAAAATGTGTAATGGAATTGATGAAAGTTGTAAGTTACTATCTTCGATCAACAATAACAACTAGATATCGGGTCGGCGCAAGAAAATCGTCTCGACAAATAAGAGCTCACTTGAGAAGTGAGCTCTTATTTTGTTTAGTATGCTCCAAACACGGCCAACGTACTCACGTCTCACGAGTAATTGCAAGTTGCAAAAATAACAACCGAAAAAGCAGTATAACGGCCGGAGTGTCTTACTTTTGATAAGTACATAAAGTATAAGTTATATTTTAAGCTTTTAAACTAGTAAATAATATCAAATTAGACAAAATTATCAATTATAAACCAACGCCACCAATGTTTGTGCGTGTGTTGGCGATTCCTTGGCCAAGTCTCGCCAACATTTGTATAAACAGAACAGTGGATGCATGGAGTCGATTTGTATTGAAAAAATAAGAAATTGTATCGTTTCTTGCTCGTTCTTCTCCATAGGAATCTACACCTTGGAATGAGCAAATAGCTTCACTTTTAAATTTATATTGTTGTTGTTCAAAAGTGCCTTCCTGGTATAACTGAAATAAATAATTTTGACTTAGACTTAGACTTTTAACGATAAAGTAAATAAACATATCATACACAAAAACGTACCGCTAATAAAAATTAGTGATGTATACTAAGATCCCGAAATGTTAATTTTCATATTATAAAATTATTTTAGTGTCCAACGCGACTCCATACATACCTCCTGTAGCGAAATTCGAAATTTGAAGAAGCAAAACGAAACAAAACAAAACGATATAGATCGCAAGACAATAATGGAAAAATTATCTTTATTTGTTCGACCTTAAGGTTGAATTCAAACTAGATATTGTATAACTTATGTCTTTTAATTTCTACATGACAGGAGTAAGAAAATACTTTTCTTGTCTTATATGACGAATGGTCGTAAGTATTAGATAATATTTTGACGATTTATGACTTTATTATTAGGTGCCATGGTTTTTATTAGGTTGAACTTAAAACTATTTTAAAACATTTTTCTCTGTTTGTTATTTTTTACTATTATTATTCACACGGACAGAACTGGAGCTTGATTTTGTACGTAACCCTTTATCTAGTTGTTATTGTTGATCGAAGGTTACTATCAAAAATCTTTGCCAAGTTACGTGCCAGGTTGTTGAACCTTACTTGATTTGAAGCACTTTAATTTATAATAGGAGAATAGGGTCAACATTTATTACAAATAAAACATTATTTCTTTTTATAATTAATTTTTAATTCTATAGTTAATTATTAATATTCACACAACTGAGGTAACTGGGTCAACCAGAGTTTTCTAATATTTAATTATTTTACGACGACATTAGGTATCTGAATTCGAAATTATACAGGTGAAGCCGTTAATTTTACATGTAACATTTTTCGACATTACCTTGTTAACTATTTCTTAAAAATTCATTGTATATCTATAACTGTACACGCGATGTTACACACTACAGGCGGTTTCCCAAGTTTCATTATAAATCTTGAGATAACTAAAATTAACAGATCTATAATTATGTAGATAAGTAAAGATTTATATTTAACAGATACACATTCAAAACTTTTCATATGTTGTAAAATGTAGAAAGTACGCACTTAAATAATAAAGAATCGAGTTCATTTACTGAGAAGAATAACACACTACCTTTGTTTACATTTTTTCATAAGTTTCGGTGTGACCACAAGTGCATGAACGCGAATATAAATCGGTGGCCTCGTCGTACTTCTCATCACCGAAAGCATGCTCGTGCACGGCGCGTGACTTATCAAACAGACTGGAGCGCACATCCATTCGCAACGCGCGCAGCCTTCGCGACGTCTGTGTGTGTCGCGCGCGCACCCGCGCCTCCTCGCGGCGCGCGCGCTCCTCCTCCAGCGCCTCGTCCGAACCCCACACCAGTCGTGCGCGTGCCTCCACCTGCGCGCGCAGATACAGTCGCATGTCACCGAGCCGCGACCCGTGCGGATTGCGACGCCGCACAAAGCGCAGAGCCGGAGGCCGCAGGTCTAGGTCGCAGTCCTTCAAGAAGAATGAGTTCTTCGCTTCGGTGCGTGTAATTAGAGCGTGCGCACCGTCGTCGTCCCTGTAGTGCAAGGATAGTTAGAGGCCAGTCGGAACAGCTATTGCTAATGATCGCAAACTATACCGACCTGCACTCGTCGCACACATTGTATCCGAATGTGTCGAAGAGATAAGACTCAGGGAACAGTTGGTCACATTCGAGGCACTGCGGTCTTTCCGTCGGGTCTACGATGGGCGCAGGTTGCGGGACGGCCCGCACTGGGAGAGTAGACTCCTCCTCTTCAGGCAGGAACCCGCCGCCGCTGTCCGTGGCCGCGGTGGGCGCAGGAATGCGCTCGCAAACATTGGGCCGGGCCACAAGGCGTGCGTCCCGCAGCTGCCGCGCACGCAGACGGTTGCGCTCTATGCGAGCGCGCTGGGCGGCTGATAGCTCCTCCGCAGTGCTTGTGGGCTCGGCTTTCTCAACTTCAAAGCGGGGCACGTCGCTACTCTCTACTGCTGTCATTCTTGAACTTGAAAAAAAAAATTGTTAGTTAGGTAAATTATTTTTTTCAATATTGGTAATGACTCATTGAGATTACCTACCCCAATTAAAAAATAAATTTTAATTAAATTAAACTGTCAAACACCAAGCGGTCACCGGTGACCGCAACCTATTGTTCTATAATTGTGTCTACAAAACCAGTACTCAACAAGTTAAATAAAATTTTTTTTATTACAGAACACTCATAGAAACACATGGCTCATTTATTACAGTACCCACAAAATTTGTTTACTAAAACAACATCATCTTTTTCTGAAACTATAGTCTCTGATGAAATTGCAATCAATTGCATCATCATTTTAACTCGTCGAGTACCGGTTTTGTAGACACAATTATAGAACAATAGGTTGCGGTCACCGGTGACCGCTTGGTGTTTGACAGTTTAATTGTTGTGAATAAAATTTATATGTGGAGATGTAATAACATGAATATTGGAAACTTAAATTAGAGCAGATTCTGTATCAGAATTCTCATATGACAAATCTACTTAACTTCCAAACATTTTACTTCCAGCGTCTGACCAAAAATAAGTAACTAATAATAGTAAAATATTAAAAGGTAAAGTAAATATCAGTAAGTAAAACTTGAGCACAAAGAAGGCTATTCAAATTATACATTTAAACATCTTTCAAAATTGTTATCCTTTTTTTATACATAATTGAAACCAAGTCCTTAATTAATAGAAAACAACTATTATGGCATGGTATTTCTATGCCAATGTAACCTTGTGATTATTGTTAAACGTTATTATAATTACCTCGTACATATTGTTTGATTTCTTTAGTAAGAAAAAGTAAATGAAAAATAAACATTTATTACCTTTTTAGGAAGAATTACACAGACTGAACACTTCTTGACAAATTGTTGTGATATATATTTCAGATAGTTCTGAAGTTCCACATTGCCATTTTCACTAAATTCTCATAAGTTCTTTCTAAATATTGTAGAACTTAAGCCAAAACAAAATAAGCACGGCGTGAAATAAATAATATGCACAGACAGATGAAAACACCGGTAATTACACCAAAGAGTATAATAACGATAGTAACAAAAGTCTAAAAACACTCGCAAGTCGCAACTCGCATTTGTGCCTTTGTGGAGTTGACATGACACTGACATGACATTAACTTTTTTTTGGCAACCGAGTCTCGATGTTGTCGAAACACATCAATAAACATGAATGAACATGACCGTACTTGTTCTGTTTGTTGACATTTTGATGATTTTATTTACAAAGGTGATGAACTGATGACAAAGAGTTTAATAAGTCTAGGGGAACATTAAACTGTCAATCACCAAGCGGTCACCGGTGACCGCAACCTATTGTTCTATAATTGTGTCTACAAAACCGGTACTCGACGAGTTAATAAATAGTGAAGTTCAATATTTTTCTGATAAACAAGCATTTTTAGTAGGTATTTACAAAATCACAATAAGGAAAATATGATAATTTAGTTTATGGAAAGGCAATATTTTTAAAGCTCAATGGCTCAGGATTTTCATCTTTTGACTTATAAGAATAAATACCTAATATAGGTATCATCTCTTCTTTTTTCTTGGGCTTTTTTTTAAGGGGGGAAAATCATCGAATGACTGCTCCCGCCTGGGTGAGGCGGAAGGGAGTGTCAGACTCTTATTATTATTATTATTATTATTTATTTAATTCAGACAGGCAGTTGAAACAACTGATAAATGTCTGTATCGTATTCTTCTATCAGTGGTTAATTCGATGTTGTGTATCTGTCAAGTCTGTTTTTGAACTGGTTAACATTCTGTGCAGCGATTACATATTCTGGAAGCCTGTTCCATGCTCCGACCACGCGATTACTCAGAAATTGTCTGTGAGGAATATTTTTCGATAAGCTTTTACACAGCTTAAGGTGACTGCTTCGCAAAAGGAGGAGACGGCATCCCAGTCCCCCTCGCTCCGCATCATGGCCTACACTAGGCCCGGACGCGAGAGGTCGCCATCGCCGATCACTTCCCTGAGAACACGGCGGTGCTCAGCCCACGCAGGGCATTCCGCTACAGTGTGTTCCACCGTGTCCTCAGGGTTTTTCTTGGGCTAAGCGCGCTGTGCGTACCTTCATTTCACTTTATATAGGTATATATATCGAATACATAATCAACCGCATTATATATATTCAACTTTGCTGTAGGTATATGGATTTACGGAGCCCGCCTTTATTTTATTTTTAAAAGTTGTTGTACCTAGGACAAGAACACAGGATTAAATCCTTGTGTACGGTACCTAACGTAAAAAATAAAAAGCAATAACGAAGTGTTACACAGTATTAAGGTTCCCGATTTTATCCTTTGGGTACGGTAGGGACCAAGTGGAACAGTTGAACAAAGTATGTCGGGCTCGAATTGGGTACATAAAGTAATATTATATTCTTTGATATGAGACATCTGGGCTAATTTTGTAGGAAATTAACAAATTAGTAGTATGATCACTTCCAGAGAGGAATACCTACCTACGTAGTTACAATCTAGTGGGGTAAAAAAATAAAATACAAGTAATTTACAAATTAATTTTACTAGCAAAAAATATATTAAACACACTTAAAATACATATTTAGTAAAAAGCATTATACTTATAACTCGAAGTGAATATGTATGCATTTAGCACACATATTATTATCTATCACAGAATAAATCATCTTGAAATGATCCCATTTTACTATAAAATATATTAGGTACTAATAGTCCTTATAGCTATTACATTACCAGTACAAAATAATGAAAAAAGAGAATTGGTTACTTAATCGTAAAGAAAGAACTATATCTATCCATACACATGTCAAAAACACACATTCAGGGCCAATAACACTGTGCCCTGATGAATGCAACTGGTAGGTATTTCATAGAAATTATAATTTATGTTTCAAATTCAACTTGTTATAAACAGGCTATCCAGAGCCTGTGAAATCAGCCATAAGTCTTAATACAATTAATTACATTCTGTCAGTCAAACAATCCTCATATTTTTTCTTTTACAAACAATATTGTACCATATATGCTCTTACAAAATATCCTTAATTTTTCAATTTGATTGGAGTCAATAATACTGTCGAATTGGTCTATTGCAATTAAGTGTTTAGTCAATTTAAAATTCAGCATCCAGTGTGAATACATTGTCCATCTGGTTGGCCATAACTCCCCACTTTTGGTACTCGCTTACTTTCTTCTCAAAGAAGTTGGTCTTACCTTCTAGTGAAATCAGATTCATGAAGTCAAATGGATTCTTTGTGTTGTAGTGCTGTGAACAAAATACAAAAAACCATGAAAATGAATTCGTAAAATTAAAACACTGATACAGAGTGACCTGAATTCACGAAACAAATTAACTAGATACCAATTATTATATTATTATTAATCAGAAATTATCATAACCTGGCTGACCTCTCGCTCGCGTCAGAGTCAAGTGAATAGAATTAAACTTAATATTTAAACAATTTACCTTCTCCCCAATAAGTTCCAAAAGTAGTCTGTCAGCAACAAATTCAATGTAATCTGACATAAGTTCGCAGTTCATTCCTAGTAGCCTTACAGGCAGTGCATCTGTCAGGAATTCCTGTTCAATTACTACAGCATCCTTAATGATCTGCAGTACACGCTCCTTGCTTGGCTTCTGAACCACATGGCGGTACATTAGACACGCGAAATCTGTATGTAAACCCTGCAGAAACAAACACCAATTTATTATTATACAAACTAGGTACATCTAATATTATGATGAAACTACATTATTCCAGTTATAACCAGTTTCTATTAACACATAACAATATTGAGTATTAGAATTTTTAATCAGTTATCACTTATCAATGATTTAATGGTTATTGTTCAATCTAAACTTGTAGATTACAAGGTATGCGTGAGTACAGTAACATACTGATAACAAATAATTATGAAAGTTCCTCACTGATAAAAAATCAATATTATGCTATCAAATAATGAGAGTAGGTGTTAGGATTAGTGTGCAACTATTTAGAATGCAATCTGTGAATGTATGAAAAACAAGAACAATATACAAACCTCATCTCTAGATATCAGTTCATTACTGAATGTTAAGCCAGGCATAAGACCACGCTTTTTCATCCAGAAAATAGAGGCAAAGCTGCCTGAGAAGAAGATTCCTTCGACAGCAGCAAATGCAATAATGCGCTCTGCAAATGTTGCAGACTGGCTAGCAATCCATTGCAGGGCCCAGTCAGCCTTCTTCTTCACACAAGGGAGAGTCTCAATAGCATTAAACAGGAAGTCCCTGTACAGGAAACAGGAATAAGATTACAATACTCAGAATACAAAACAATGGTAGTTTTGTAAAAATTGCATGATTCATACTGGCCTAGCAACAATTACGTAACAAATAACAATGATAGGTCATATAGCCATGAATAAATAGCAACACAAATAAATTACCTCTCCTTTGGGTCCCTAATATATGTGTCAATAAGAAGAGAGTACATCTCAGAGTGTACATTCTCCATGGCTATCTGGAAACCATAGAAGCATCTAGCTTCAGTAACTTGAACTTCTTGAGAGAAACGTTCAACCAGGTTTTCATTGACAATCCCATCAGAAGCAGCAAAGAAAGCCAGGACATGCTTGATAAAGTGTCTCTCACTGTCCTTTAAAGTCTCCCAGTCTGATAAATCCTGAACAAAGAGTTGCAAAATGAGTCAAAGGTAAACCTTAGTTAACTCGTCGAGTACCGGTTTTGTAGACACAATTATAGAACAATAGGTTGCGGTCACCGGTGACCGCTTGGTGTTTGACAGTTTAATTATGTGTACATTGTTGATTGTTTACAGTTGGCTTTAGTCATAACAACTTTATGGTTACAGTTAACTAAGTAGTTTACCCACAAAACTATATAAGTATGTTGCTACAAATGTGTAATATCATATTGAAAGAAAATATTTAAAAAAAAATAAAGCATTTTGAAAAAGTAGAACAATAGGTAGGTACCATAAAACCGTCTAATTAACTAACAGATGCGCGATTCTATTACATCGAAGTGATGTTATGGAAAATAACACGATAAGCATCACGCCCTAATTTTGGAACTTTCCGTTATTTGCGGGGGAGCTCAAGCGTGTCCGTGACCCCATAAGGATGCTAAATGACCACATTTAGGCAATAATTGCTACTTTTTTAAACGTTTTTTTTTAAGTGTTAGCAAAACATATATTACTAAATCAACTGTAATCAATACCTAGTTGAACAGGTTACGATATAAGAAAAAAACTATTGTACACAAATGTTACCTTGGATAGGTCCACTTCCTCAACAGTCCAGAAGGAAGCCTCGGCCTTCTTGTACATCTCCCAAATATCAGGATACTGAATAGGGAATATGACAAAACGGCGAGGGTTGTCTCTCAGTAGTGGTTCCTTTTGTGGGTCAAACTCGACCACTTCAGTGGTCTTTCCCTCGACCTCCATGCTTTCGCCACTCATATTTTCATTGCGTTCAGCCAAAACGTTGTTTTTAACAGGGCTCTGCAACAATAATAATATAATTAAATTCTTGTCCTGACAGTCATGCTGTCAAAATAAATACCCATTTATGTGTCTAAAATTACTAACCTTTAAATGCACATTGTTGAACTCGTTGTGCAAATTCTCTTTATCAACAATTGGGGCCATTGTGTTTTAGTTTAATGTAACAATACAAAATAATTTAACTTTAATTAATGATCGAACAAGATCTCACTTCGCAACTGCTTTTGCCGCTTCTGAGGCAATCGAGGCGAGCGCTCGCTATTTTGGTCATGAGTTTCCCTCCAATTTGCTGTGTAAACATCTGTTGCGTTCCGAAGTCTACTATTGAAGTTACAAGATAGAGCCAAATGTAAGCTTTCGGGTATAGATTTCAACAGCTAGACGTTTAAAAACATGTTATGTAAGTATAATAAATACTAAATCGATGTGCAAAATACCTATTTTCCACATAATTATATAATTTGTAAAATATGCATGAATGAATGAATTGAATTTTTGCATTATATTGAACTTCAGACTATAGATTCGGACCAAACATATGGTTGTGGGTTCATTGGCCACTCACAAAACAGCAACATAAAAGAGCGGTAATAATTAGGATTTTTGTGTTAATTTATCTGCTGGAAATAAAGAAATATTAGGTCATCAATTTATGTGGATCCATTTTGTGAAACTTTTGGGGAGGTTGATATTAATTATAAAAAAAAATTAAGAGGAAAAATAAACGAAAAGCGATGGAAAGTAGATTTCCCGCCAATTAACTTTTTTCCATTGGATTTCGCGTGAGCCAATCAAATAGCAGAAACCATAGACCGTAAACTACTAAACTTCCAAAGTGCAAGAGAAATGATGAAATCAGAAATAAATGGAAGTAGTGTAAGTTTATTAGTAATAGTCACATTAGTTACGGTAATATTATGAAATTAATTTTATCGTGTTATCGAGATATTGATACTCACGAATCTTCTGAACATACCAAACAATTAGGAAAAACTTATTTCCCTGTTTTAGGTGTATGATTGAAGTTAGCCCGCGCAATTTGAAGTTGCTTGTTTTTTGCAATTTCATTTTTCAGCTCAGAGCTCGATATCGATCGGACGGATCGGTTGCTTAGTATGATGATAAAATATATTTGCGGCATTTCCGCAATTTAGAAAAGGTCTTCAATTTACCATTTAAGTAAAAACTTAATGCGTAATGGTAAATGCATAAATAGATACGAGTAGTACCTAGTAAAGGTAGATAAATAATTAAAATCGATGCGATCATTCAACACATAATGCATCTTGACGTGGCCAAGGCGTGGTGCATTTAGGTTTCTGTAAACAATATAATAGTACTGACAGAGAAATGTTAGTTGCCTTTTGGTCTAGTTCCTTTATATGCCAATACCAATCTTATTCTTATATTCTTTGATAGGTACCGATCGATAAATAAAATGTATTTTTTTTCCATATCGTAATAGTATCGAATGTCATGGCATAAACAACATTATGTTTGATTGAGTGATCCCCTATACTTATTATACTCTTTGATTGAGTGGTCGCAAGTAAGCCTGTCGAAGTAAGTGTCACAGTTTTTATTCCTGGGTATTTCTTTCAGTTTCTATGAATTAGGAAATAGAGAAATAGTTTAAAGTTTAAAACTTTGTCTAGTCATTTATTTACTACTTAATTGTTACAAAACGAATGGGCCACCTAATGATAAAAGGACAATGTAGTCAAAATGCCTATATACTCTCCCAACCTAAATAAGTTACGCTATATCAACAAGAACAACAAACTGCAAAGGTGCATTGATAACATTTGCATTTCATCAAAGTCAATATTATCACACCACACCTAAATCATTGGTTTTATCGAACAACAGATAACAATGCATACTTATTTGATAGCACAGTTTGTGCATTTATCACGAAGATTCAAAAACAGTTGATTCATTTAACATGTTGGGACAGGTTCTTACTTATCTCTTCATGACTATGACGCGTCTACCTGCCCGCGAGATAAGTACGGTATTGAAGATGAACGAAAAGGTTCTTCGGCTATTTCGAAGTGGAATCACAAAAAAATTATAGTATTCTATTGAATACATTCTTTTCAATTTAGTTTTTATCTCGTTTTTACCTTTTACGGGACAGTAATAAACAATTTGACCGGGCGATGTCGCAGGTTAACTACTTACCTGCTTTTAAGTGTCAATAAATTTTATATAAAGGACATCCTTGTCCTTTCCTATTGCACATTCCTATGTTTTATATAATTTTATACACCTATTTGGTAAAGAATTTCTTATTGTGGTCTCTAAAGTTTGGATCCCGAATTGTATGCAGTTAACAGTTGCATATAAGTAACTAACTCTGTAACTTTGGTGTCAAAGTCAAAATATTTTAGAGAGTATGTACTTGGTATCTACCATAATATGAAGCTAAATAGTATAATCGTGTGTTACTGTATAAACAAACTTTTTGTGTAAAGGTTAAGAAATATTTTACAAAAAATCCAGTTTGAAGTTTTTTAGTTAGGTATTATCAAACCCATCCTCTATATGTACCTACTTGCTGTACATTTATTTTTAGAAATGGTGGTTAAGACTGCAGTTTTGCTCTCAGAAATCCTTACTGCGTATATTTTTAGTGCCAGCATTAGTAGTAGCACGGAGTCTACAATTGTGCCCGGTATATGGCAATAGGCTTACCCCCTATTACACGGGAATCATAATATAAATAGTGAAAAGTGAGTGTTACATAGTACAGTGGCATTAAGTGCCGTAATGTGCACCTCCTCGGAATAAAAAGGCGCGATGAAGATGATGTTGTTTTGATGCATATTCTACTAATGTTTTAGGTTTTTTAGTTCTATTGCGTATTTCGACCTTTTAACCCTTTGAGTTCCGTCATTATATACACAATTAAAGAACAATAGGTGTGCGGACACCGGTCCTATATATTGTGTCTATAATGACGGTAGTCAAACTCAAAATGTGCTTATTTTATTCCACTTCTATTCCATATATAAATACATATTATAATCCGAGCTCTAATGTTTTCCAACCTGCCGTCTAAGCGTAGAAAGCAGTCTGTATTAGCCCAAAGGCAAACTAGGCAAGTGCCCAAAACACCAGGTTACAGAGGGGCACCGCGACCCAGCGAGAGATGCGTGTCCATAGAGTGACGGTGGCGCACAAAAAAACTTTAAGGGTACCTATGAGGAACATCTCATACGTCATATAACTAACTCTGTAACTCTGTCGCATAACGTCCTAGGCATCAGCCTAAGACGCTCTCTAGGTTTAATCCGCCTCTGGTGGCTAGTGAGTCGTTACCATAAGGACACTCGGAGCACGTGCGTGCCTAGGGCTACCTTCCGCAGGAGGCCCCGCAGGACCGACAATTTCCACGACGGACACGAATTCTGTAGGTAGCTGGTGTGTGTGTGCGTGTTTCCCCGACGGAGCTAATTTTTGTTTGATCCACAAATTGTTGTTTAGGGTCTGGGTGTCATGTGTATGTGAACTTGTGTGTTTGGAAATGCACGCACAATACAGGAGAACATTATAGTGTGGGCAACGTTACAAAAAAAGGAAACGTTCTAAAAGGGCCCCGAATTATTGTGTGCCCGAGGGCCCCAGCGTAGTCTAAGAGGGCCCTGTGTACATGCCTTCCCTCCGATTATTGTTTTGCTCATAGAATCCAAAGATTGGGTGCATATTATAGTATGTGGCTTGTTACTTACAATAATTTGGAAATCGAAATATCTTAACATATTTTTAAATCTTCTTCTAAAAAAATTATTACGTTTCTCGAGATTTTTAGAGGTAATCTTTTAATACTAAAATAAAATCTTTTAATACTCACGGCTTTGGTTTCTAGATTATGGAGGGTAGGCGGAAGTAAAACTTAACTGCGGCTAAAAACAAACTGACATTAATTTAAGTTGAGCTCTATATATAGGGTAAGTTTTTGCGATAAGCGAAAAACCATAAAGCGGAACTTCTAAGTGTTTTGCATATTCCTTTTCCATCCTCATATTTGCAAACACAGTCAAGCAAAAATACCAGCTGGGTCAGTATATTTTGTGATTATCTGTTACTGTAATAGGCAGCGCATTTGCGTCACGCGGGTGTAATATCTCAACTTCTTCGGTGTTAGTAATTTTATTTAAACAGCAGTGATAGGACTCCATCTTCCCGATTTTTTCCAGCGGACGGTCTGAGTTTATTCGTTCATAGATAAACTCAATATTGTTTTTTTCTGTGGTATTAAAATCAAAAAACTGGTGTGTCATTGACTTGATAAAAATGTCAATGTCATGACAGTCATGTCATTTCGGGAAAATAATAGCTTGTAAAAAATACGCTTTTGTAATTTGTGAAATTGTAAAATAAATAAATAACAAAAGTTAATAAAAATGTCTGATAATGACGATGATTATATGTGTGAAGAGGAAGAAGATTATGGCTTGGTATGTAAATTTATCGACCGTAATACATTCGTTAATATTATTGTGTGTAGTGACGTTTTAAAGGTTCCTACTAAAATCCGTTCTATAACCTGTCTTTGTGTTAAACTTTTCGTTTAATTTGTATTTAGAGAAATTGAGATACATTACCGTTAACATCATAATATTGCATTTAATGTCAAAGTTATTATTAATTCAACCCGATACTTTAGCCAGATGTGACGGCCGGTGACCTTTGTTAGACTGATGTAGTTTGGTAGGGTAAATAAACGTTAAAAAAAATACTAATTGGAAACTTTTCATATTCAGGAATACTCTGAAGACAGCAACTCGGAGCCAGATGTTGATCTAGAGAATCAGTACTACAACAGTAAAGCTCTAAAAGAAGATGAGCCTCAAGCTGCTTTGCTTAGTTTTCAAAAAGTCTTGGAGCTGGAGGGAGGTGACAAAGGCGAATGGGGCTTCAAAGCACTCAAACAGATGATTAAGATAAATTTTAAATTGGTATGTTTCTTACAAGAAATTTTCCAACTGAAACTTATTGCACTTTTTTATTATGGTGTCTCGAAAAAAGGTTTGCTCAAAAATTTCAAGTTCTGTTAAAAATTGTAACTTATGAAGTTTATTAAGATTTTTTATAGATAAAACATCAAATTTTGGTCCATGGGGGTAGACATAAAAACAAACCATGACACCTATTGCAAATACTTAATATTTTGTTGTGTTTGAAATTACATAATCTTATTCCTTTTGTCCATTACAGGGTAACTTTACAGAAATGATGTCTCGTTACAAACAACTGTTAACATACATCAAGAGTGCAGTTACTAGGAACCACTCGGAGAAGTCTATCAACTCTATCTTGGATTACATCTCTACTTCTAGAAATGTAAGTTCCATGGCAAATTTATTAGCTGCCAGTTTTGAGTTTATAATCAATGCTGTTATAGCAACTGTATGCTATTAAACTGTCAAACACCGAGCGGTCACCGGTGACCGCAACCTATTGTTCTTTAATTGTGTTTATAATGACGGTACTCAACAAGTTAAGGTTATTTTAATAGTATGTGTTATTAGAAATTTTCAGATATCGAAAACTTTTTCGGTTAAGTTTTTGGCTAAACTCAAGGATATAATTAACTTAACTATGCTTTCATTGGTTTTGCCAATAAAATTAATGGTTATTGCTCACAACTCTTCATTATTATACAAATATTTTTTCTTTACAGATGGAATTGTTACAAGACTTCTACGAAACCACCTTAGAAGCTCTAAAAGATGCCAAAAATGACAGGTTATGGTTCAAGACAAACACAAAACTAGGAAAACTGTATTATGATAGAGGAGACTTCAATAAACTTGCTAAGATCCTCAAGCAACTACATCAGAGCTGCCAGGTGAGATTGTATGCATGATATGAGGAATAGAGTCCAATGTAATAGAAGTTACATGGGACTCTGGGATGCATAACATAACTGGTGAAACTGGGTGTTACATTGTATGTTTGCACCTGGGTCTGCCCCTTTAGTGATTAAAAAGCATAACAATATGTTATTGTACATAATTATAATTTTCAACTTTAAATAGGTACTGTAAACTAGCTCAGTAACAAAAGGCAAACCGTAATTTATCAATACATAGTATAAAACAAAGTCGCTTTCGCTGTATGTCCGTATGTATGCTTAGATCTTTAAAACTACGCAACGGATTTTGATGCGGTTTTTTTTAATAGATAGAGTGATTCTTAAGGAAGGTTTATATCATGCATATTGCACCCGTGCGAAGCCGGGGCGGGTCGCTAGTTAACAATAATCAGTAAAATCCCCAGTATGGTATTACTTCAGACAACAATGCAAAGTCTATCTAATATGTTCATTACAGACCGATGAAGGCGAAGATGACTTGAAAAAAGGAACACAGTTGCTGGAGATCTATGCCCTTGAGATTCAGATGTACACCGCACAAAAGAACAACAAGAAGCTAAAGGCTCTGTATGAACAATCTCTGCACATCAAGTCTGCTATACCACATCCACTCATTATGGGTGTTATTAGAGGTACATACTAATCCTGCCCCCTTCCCCAATCCCTAAAAGGAAGACAACACACTTGAAACACCACTGGTGTTGCGAGTGTCAAGAGGTGGCTCTGATGTCAGGTGTCATCAGGTGATTCGTCTGCATGTTAGCCACCATATTATGCCATAACAAAATATCTCTGGGACTTACAACTTCTCATAGGAATTTTATGTGAATAATTTGTTTGTGACAATTTCTAAGTTTGTTTTAATGATCCTATAACTTTTCAGAGTGTGGTGGTAAAATGCACTTACGTGAAGGTGAGTTTGAGAAGGCTCACACAGACTTCTTTGAAGCGTTCAAGAATTACGACGAGTCTGGCAGTCCCAGAAGGACAACATGTTTGAAGTATCTCGTTTTAGCCAATATGTAAGTACTGCCAATAAATCGTGAGTGCTTGTATCATTGACGTTCAATGATATTAATTTATTTTAATTTTGTACAGGCTTATGAAATCTGGAATCAATCCTTTTGATTCTCAAGAAGCAAAACCATATAAGAATGATCCTGAGATCTTAGCTATGACAAACCTCGTAATGGCGTATCAGAACAACGATATTAACGAGTTCGAGTCCATTCTGAAACACAACAGGAACAATATTATGGACGACCCTTTCATCAGAGAACATATAGAAGATTTGTTAAGAAACATCAGGACCCAGGTGCTGATCAAATTGATTGGTCCCTACACCAGGATTCATATACCTTTTATATCTAAGGAACTGAACATTGATGAGAAGGAAGTCGAGAATCTTTTGGTCACCTGTATTTTAGATAAGTGAGTAGATCCTATTAATTGTTGTTCTTCATATCTTTGTACAAATTTACTGGAATGATAATATATATTGATGTAATGTCCGGTATGCGCAGCACGATCAGCGGCCGCATCGACCAGGTGAACTCGGTGCTGGAGCTGGCGAGCAGCGCGCGCGGCGCGGCGCGGTACGGCGCGCTCGACAAGTGGACGGCGCAGCTGTCGTGCCTGCACCTGGCGCTGGCCAACAAGATGGCGTAGTGCCGCGCCCCGCCCGCCCGCGCCGTCTCCACTCCGCGCGCGCCCACACCTCCCGCCGACTACTGATGCAGCGACCAGGCAGCGGGCTGCGGGTATTCTAGAAAAGCAAACGCTTCTCTATATCTTAGGTTTATAACGCTACACGATGCGACGGTGTGAATTGATGACCCAGTGAAGCCATCTTGTCAATATGTACCACGTTCACTGAGTGCAATTCGAGTTACCCCTTACTTACTGTTTAAAAGTTTGGTAAGTTAGTGACAAGGATGTTGCACATGAACGGCGCTACCATACGTGTGGACAATTTACTATTGGCTTATAAGAAACACATCTACATATGTACAGTGCTAACCTGCAAGACAGTGCAAGAAAGATCGCCCCATTCGATGTCATTCACTTTTCGCGACAGACGTGTTCCCAGCATGAAGTTGACCAAGTACTTTGTATTATAAATATCTGATAGAACCGCTTCATTTACTACAGTGTAATCTTGTTTCTGTAAAACTAAAATTGTAAAGTGAAACTTTCCATCTTGTCATATAACACTTTACATGCAGTACAGTAAAATAATGACTGATGTCTATGTTCTAATATAAGCAGATAAATGCAATTACTTATAGATAGTTTGTAATTTTTAGTCAGTTTTTATTTTATTTTAGGACATGGGTGTGGCTGAAATGTTTGTACAAGACACTGTTATAGATAGATTACAATTTTGTGGATAAGTAGTACTGAGATGTAGATCTAGGACACATTTATTTTGTACTTTTGTAAGTCTGAATGTACCGTCACTGCTGAAACTTCATGCGAAATACGTAATGTCGCGAAACATTGTTTTATCAAATAGAAATGATCAACAGAAGAGTTGGAATTGGATATGTGATATTGTATATGGATGCGTGTAGTGATAATTTATATATTTGTGAATAATGTAATATTTCGACACAAATTGTTAAAAAAACATCGTACGGAGGTTCGAGCTCGACATGATCTTACTTGTAATTTTGGGAACAATCTCGGCAGAACAACTACTGTTGACAAGCCTCTATTCAGTGCAGTGTTATGCAAATACACGATTTCATGTAATTACTCGAGTTTTATTTCATACTAGCGACCCGCCCCGGCTTTGCAAGGGTGCAATATGCATGTTTACATATATAAACCTTCCTTAAGAATCACTCTATCTATAAAAAATCGCTAGAAAATCCGTTGCGTAGTTTTAAAGATCTAAGCATACGGACAGACAGACGGGCGATAGCGACTTTGTTTTATACTATGTAGTGATAAAGAATTTAATTTTTTACATTTTTCATTATGTGGCCGGTTTTCTTTTTCTGATTCAGTTTTTTTTGTGATAATCTGACTAACATAGTCTAACCTCGCTCCCTAAACTTATGGTTTATCTAGGCATTGCAGAGTTTACGTAGAATTTGTTCGAAAGTTCAAAATTAAGATTTGAGCTCAGTGCACACATACATTGATGAATATGAATAAAAACTGATGTTAGGCGAAAATTACGAAAGAAACATTAACATAACATCGCGCCTTTTATCCCTGAAGGGGTAGGCAGAGGTGCACATTATGCAATTGTACAATGTAACATCCACTTTTCTCTATTTATGTTATGAGTCCCATGTAATTCCATGTACGAAAGAAATCATTAAAAAAACATATAACTCGAAAACTACGCAAAATCGTAGAACAGACATGGGGGTGAATTGGACTCTCCTCTTCATTATGTATCAAAATTTTACTGTATAGATGGTTGCGATTTTAAGCTCGAAAACTACGCAAAATCGTAGAACATACATGGGGGTGAATTGGAGTCTCCTCTTCATAAAGTATCAAAATTTTACTGTATACATGGTTGCGATTTTGAGCTGTTAGACAATATCACAGTAATTACAATCTCTGTTAATGTTGAAATGTGTAAAATAAAAATAAAACAACGAAGATAGTAATAAGTAAATATTTATAATAGTAAAAATTGGTACATCACTACAATAAATGGACGGATCGGTATATCACAGGTTAGTTATATACATTTCCATTAGTATGTAATACATGTTTATATTAAAATTTTCGTGGCACATACTAAATTAATTATGTTTTCGGTTAACTCGCGTAACTGCAGCCTCTAGCATGGCTTGAAACTAGTCGAGTTCCTCGTCAAACATTTACGTGAGTAAGCCGAAAACATAATAATTAATTTAGTATGTAATACGTTACATAATAATTAGGAATTAATACTTCATAACTGATTCGTCTTTATTGGCCATTTTTCATATATAAAACTACGAAACTCGGACTCTAGAATCCAAATCCATCGATAGGTAATGGGAAATATCCACAAATAAGACATAATAATTAAATTGAAGTTAAACTCATTAAATGGCACTAGAAATTATTACATTAGAGTCGAATATAATTTTAAAAAACAACATTTTTTACAACAAATCATTGAATGTGCTTTTTGCACAAAAATTGTCCATAATAGGCTGTTAAGAAAATATTAATATAATTATAAATCTTACAATTACGGCAGTGTATAATTTTGGATAAGTACTATCAGTAGTAGTATAAAAATTTCATAATTATTACTATCTAATAAAATAGGTATTAATTCCATGTAACAACATTTTTTATTTATAAAACAGCTATTATTTTTGTAGCTGAACTTCATACCCCTAGATTGGTCACACAAATTTTACCACAACTCAGGGCTCGATTGAACTTAACACACGTCGTTTTAGTTTCGCCTCCATTAATTATTATTATAATAATAACAAAATACCTACATACTAGGATTTTTATATATGGAGAATGAAACGAAAACAAAGTACATACAGCAGTATCTTACCAAGCCCAAGGTTTTAATATCTATAGATTTATGTAGTCCTTTACTTACTATAGTCGTATTCGCTTCGCGTCGGCTATTTCGTTTACGAATGAGCCATCGATATAATATACAATTTTAATATATTATTATGATTTTGCAACAATTTTGTAAAACTTATTTTTTTTTAACAATTATTTTGTTTTAATCATTTGCATCAGTATTTGAGATTCGTAAGAGATTCTTTTTTAACCGACTCCCCAAAAAAGGAGGAGGTTCTGAATTAGTCTCTGTGTTCTTTTTTTTTCGATTTATATCTCAGTTACATAATTCATAAATTCATTCTGACTCGATATACAGTACAATGAAGAGTCCACAACATGTACATTGTACAAGCTACAGTGTTGCCATACATTGCTAAACAATTAATGCAAAATTAGACAATAAACCCTTTCGCATACGACGTCGTATCGTAAGCGTATTGTAATACGCTAACACAAATTGAGACACGTCTTTTATAACTGTGTTAATTACCATTTTGATAGTCTGAACGTAACGATACGCTTATGATTAAAATACGAAGGGGTTAACGCTATTATTAAAAGTAACTGTCAGTACTGCGTGTCAATAAATTGTCTGTTTGTTTGTATGTCAGTGTGCGGGCTTGTCGTGTAGCCAGGCGCGGAAGATGGGCAGCGTGCTGGGGTAGTGCGTGGGAGGCTGCGGCTCGTCTGATTCCTCGCGGAACGGATACGTACCTATCAGGATCGGAAGCTGCAACTTCACTTCCTTCTCCAAACTCTTCGGCTCGATTATGAACTGGAATTTTAAAAAGACATTCATTTTTACTTGGACGTAATGAATTTAGTGATATATTGATTCTACTATGTGCATATTATGTGGTTAGTTAGGAAATGCCGACCTCATCTAGTAATGTAGAGAACATAATACAACATCACGCCTTTTATCCCCGAAGGGGTAGGCAGAGGTGCACATTATGCCATTGTACAATGTAACACCCACTTTTCACTATTTATGTTATGAGTCCCACATAATGTAGAGATTGACGTCTAAAAGTGTAACTTTGTAACCTATTTATAGATATAAATATCATTTATCATTTATTGATTAAATAAGAAACCAAAAACTCACTTCTACTAAACAAAAGTTAGTAGTAGACCATTATCATAATCAATCGGCAAGTCTACTGCAGAACAAAAACCTACGTCCTACCCCTTCCTTTAGTACTCTTCATGACTCTAATGACATCGTTGGCATCGTTTCTTGGCTCATCGACCGTTATTTCTTTGGGCGATGTGTCCGATTTGCACGTAAGCGTATAGATAGATTTTTATATATAACAATACCAATAAGTTTCACTTGTACTTACGAAGACATCATACTGCACCGAGATGAGATGGCAGCCACGCAAGTTAGTGGGAGGCAGCGGCGGTACGTAGAGGAGCTCATGGCGCCACACGTCACTGTCACCAGCTCGGGTCTTACCGTGCGACAGTGATGCTAGTTCACGAACCTCCTTCGCGGCTACTTTGCCGTGAGCTGAGTACTGGATGGTCTGTTAACATTTTTACAGGTTTTATATCCATCATGTTTATGGCATACTACCTTTTACCCGCGGTTTTACCAGCTTATATTTAATCAGGATAAAAAGTCCTCCACACAGTCAGCCCATATCCTGCCTGTATATAAAATTGTATCAAAATCCGTTCAGTAGTTTCAGCGTCATTGACGGACAAACATTCAAACTAAAGAAACTTACATATGATGGGGTTGACCCCATGAACAAACGTATTACCTGAGAGGCTGAGAGTATTTAAATGAGGAGCTTCGTCTATGGACATATGCAACATCAGAGGAAACTTGGTGTTTTAAAAAAGTTGTGAGCTCTTTTCTTGATGGTTGCAATGGATATGAATGGGTCTGAAATACCGCATCTACTACTGATCAAGAGCTTCTTTCAAATGGCGATTGTGGTATCGTAGCTCGGTCACCGAAAGTATAGAGGGCGTGTAATACTGTTATCGTCTTCTATTAAAAAAATGTCTACCCAATAGTATTGCTGTTGCATTGACACCGTAATAAAGAAGAATCATTGAATCATTATTAAAATAGAATCAATAAATTCAAGAATGTACGGTTAACGAATAGTCATGCCAAAAAAGACTTGCCTGAAATATGTGTGAAGTAATGACTTCGGTTCGTAATAATAAATGAATCACCTGTATTTTATACATAAAATAACATAACATCACGCCTTTTATCCCCGAAGGGGTAGGCAGAGGTGCACACAGAAGTAACACCCACTTTTCTTATATCATATATATCCCATTTTATACATAGCTTAATATTATTACAGCATAACATTAACAAAGCTAAACTGCGTAGGTACATAAGGATTCGAATATACAAAAACTATCGTAATGATTGAATTAGTTATTCTAACCTATAGTCCGTAAAACCACTAAATTAATATGATCCGCACTTTACAAGGCCTTTGACCGGCAGGTCGTGATCGTGACTTCGAACAGCAGACGAGTAACTCCATAACTCTATATTACGTGAACTCGTTTCAGTGCAAAACATTACAGTAAAAAACGAACAAAGGAAATATCGATGTATCATGTTTTCTGTTTAGCTTCGTTCGTTATAAAAACGTGAAAGCCCTGTCGTCTCGCCAACATTACTTTGCATAATCTAGGTTTTTTTAGTCTTAGTCAAAACATAGAATTCCTAATAGGTAGATAGCTATATTCTTAAAAGGTAGATACCTACCTATTAGGAAATTACTAAGAATGTGTCGTGGTCGTGGTGGACCGGAGGTTTAAGACGCCCGCTTCTCATGCATGAGGGTGCGGGTTCGAAACCTACCAACGGCAAGTACCAATGTCACTTTTTCACAGTTTCAGACTTATATGTATTTTCTAAGATTATCTAGACACCACCGGCTAACGGTGAAGGAAAACATCGTGAGGAAACCTGGGCTTATAATTTCTAATTATAAGTTTGTAATCGCCAACCCGCATTGAACAAGCGTGATTAATGCTCAAACCTTCTTCGTGTGAGAAGAGGCTTTGCTCAGGCAGTGGGCATTTATAGGCTGTTGGTGGTGATGATGATGACTGGAATGTGTATGTTTTATTTCAAGTGACTTGAGAATATTAGCCATAACAACTTACCTACCAGGAAAATAGGTAATAATAAAAATATCCGCAGTTAGTCACTGAGTCACTGCAATAAACTTGTTCCTCGTTGATAGAGATTAGGTAGATATTGGATTATGATTATTCAAGTAAATTGTTTTGTTATATCACTACCAAGGGCAGGTACCTAAACCATTATTGAATGTCTCCATTTTGAAATTTCCAATGGCTGTAATCTCGTTTCCGATTTCATAGGATATAGGTACTGGGTACAACATATTATTAACAGTGGGAATCTATTACTGCCTCGTTGGCCGAGTGGCCGCAAGTGCGACTGCCGGGCAAGTGGTCTCGGGTTCGATTCCCGGGTTGGGCAAAGCATTACACTGGGCTTTTAAAAAATTCTCAGTAGTATCATGGAGTCTGGAAATGTGCCAGGTATATGACAATAGGCTCACCTCCTATTACATGGGATTCAGAACATTAATAGTGAAAAGTGGGTGCTACCTCTGTGTGCACCTGTGCCTATCCTTTCGGGAATAAAAGGTGTGATGATAATAGATTGATAATAGATTCCCATAACCTAATATGGGAATGTATTATTATTTCTTCGTAAAATAAAAAGCGTGATGTATAGTATAACTTCCTTAACACAACATAAGGATTGATTGTAAAATACAGCATCTACCTACTAGTAGCTGTAGGTTCAAACTACACACTGTAAAACATTCACTTATATCTATAGTCCACCAGAACACACATACCTCAGTAAGAGCTGCCCTAGTAGCTTTGATGGTAGTCCTAGAGTTGTTCACCAGTGTGGCAGTGAGCATGATGCTCTCCCCGGGTACGTAGGCCCCGCGGTCTAGTGACACGGCGCAGGACACCGTGCCCCCGCCCACACACCCGACACCTAGTCTGTGTTCTACGCTGCATTCGAACTGTTGCTGCAACCAGAATGGAAGATCCGAGGCCTTAGTACGAGTTTCTTTTACGTTGATAGTAATTGAAACGAGTACGCGTTCGGCGCTGTGATTGGCCGGCTCCAATGAACCAACCAATCAGAGCGCCGGACGCCGTCTCGATTCGATTACTTTACGAAAACGAAACTCGTACTAAGGCCTCAGTTATGTTCAAAAAGTGGTTGGGAGATTGGCTGGAGTTTTGTGACAACTATTTATGTAATTGATACGTTTTAGAAGGCTGATGTAAAATTTGTAGTTAATCTTTCCTGTCGATTTATGCATCTTGCGTTTAAAAATGAGAGTACGAAAAACAGGTGATTTCAGTCGAATAGTTACTATTACTATCAGTATTGATAAAAGGAGACATCAGGTCTAAGCAACTCTAGTGTGTCACTTCCTATGCGGTAAGATTTTTTTTTAAAACGTTGCCTAACACTAGGATTTTATCCTGTGTCGTGGGTGCGTTTACAAACATACACATGACATCCAGACCCAAACAGCAATTTGTGGATCACAAAAAGAGTTGCTCCATGCGGGAATCGAACCCGCTACACATTGCGCGGCAGCCGGTTGCCCAGTCACCGCGCCAACCGTGGCTTTTATTCCTGTATAGTAGTAACCTTGACAGCAGCCCATGTAATAAAGTAGCTACTCGTTGCATTATGTAGGATTCTTTTATGCTACGCCTCGCTGTGCTCACTCGCTGTGATAGTACGTAGTTTTACTACGCAATTATTGATTGTAGGATCCCTTTTTATTAACCAACTAGCTACTTCACACGCTCTGCTGAGCTCCTATTGGTCGTAGCGTGATGTTTTATAGCCTATAGCCATCCTCGATAAATTCGCTATCCAACACAAAAAGAATTATTCAAATCAGACTTGCAGTTACGGATATTAGCGCGTTCAAACAAAAAAAACAAGGTATTCCGCTTTATATAAGATAAGATATAAGATTAACATTAAGTTACATAATAACATGTATAGAATAAAAGAAATTGCGTGGATCCTATTCCACAAGGAAATATTATTGTGGAGGTGACTAAGTATGATCTACCTTTTCTAATCTTTGAATCTAATAATAATTCTTTTATAAACTACGTTTAAAAAACCGACTTCGACACCCTTTTTTTGAAGTCGGTAAACCCTGTTGTTAAATTAATATACTAAAACCTTTCTAAGTGTAAGAATTAATTTCTAAAAACCGCATCAAAATCGGTTCAGCCAATCGCAGGATAATCGCGAACAAACAAACAAACATACATACAGATCAAACTGAGAACCTCTTTTTAATTGAAGTCGGTTAAAAATATTAAAACAGAGTAAATTCATGCAATAAATAAGTGCCTTGATACATTTGGAAGTGAATTTCGTTCATAACCTTCTTTCTAAAATTATTTTTCATTTTATTTAATATGAAGCTTAAAATATTTGAAATTACTCACAGATAAAACCGGTGGTTCCAAATTAAGATCAATAGGGTTCATCACAATGAAGACTTGTTGATTCTTGTGTGTCAGACCGTTGGGTTCCCTGAGAGCTGCCTTGCAGTAGTACTGGACCCAGCCGTGAGTGCCGAGGAATGTGGAGGGTAAGCCCATTGGCAGGCCCAGCTTGAATGGGAAGCTGTGTATACCAGGCGATAGAACTGATGTGCTGTGACCTGGGGAATGGGAAAGTTTGGATTTTACATACTCCTAAATTACTATGTATTTACGTTCAATTGTAACAAGCTATGTTTAATTATCGTTACCAGAATATGTGATGACTAAATGTCACAATAAACAACTGCACCCTTTAAATATTTTTTTATAGGTATTACTTCCAGTACTTTAGTATTACTGACAATGTCCACATCTGTCGTCAAAATAGTAGTGTACTGTATGTAAATGTATTTATAGCTAACTAGCTTCTGCCAGCGGCTTCGCCCGCGATCACGTAGGTTAAAAAGTGGCCTATGTGTTATTCCAGACCATTATCTACCCCTTTCCCAAATTTCATCTCGTTCCCTTCAGTCGTTTTGACGTGAAAGAGTAACAAACAAACAAACACACACACATACAATATAGATACTCACAAATTTTCGTATTTATAATATTGGTAGGAAGTAGGATTTGATACAATAATTATTCAATTATAATATCACACACATCAGTCAAGGAAATATCAAAAATAACATAAGTAATATAGATTTAAAACCAGTAGTCATACAATCTTATTTTTTATTTATTTAATTAACCGGGTAGGATTCTCTAACAGTCAACCATTATACTCTCTAATCGATCGAGTAAAGAGCGTGAATCCACGGCTCAGTGGTCATTTCAATTGTTTAGCTCCAGACTGATGCCTTTAGACCTGGGTCTGGCTGGCCGTCTGCCTGTTTACAATCTGTTACTCCTCATATTTCGTCAAAAACCATTTTTTTTAAATACCATTTTATTTATAACCACATTTTATTAGGTGCACTTTTAATTAATTTAATATGTGACCTATTGATAAAATGAAATGCATATTTATTAAGCTCTTAAACATTCATTTAATTCATAACATTTTGATCAGACTAATGCACATTTACTAGACAAGGACAGGAAAAGGAAATTCAAATATCTATATTTTTAGATAACACAGCAACATGATTACAGATTCGATAGAGACTGGACAACAGCACTTAATAATGTTAAATAAGAAATTGTGGTCTTCAACCGAACTACTAACCAGGAGCCTTAGTCTGCTAATACAATTGTGTCAGAATCGGAGAGTGATGGAGCTATTAGGTTGTATAGCTCCGTCCCTCTTATACTGCTCCATGATAGACCAATCTGACTCTGACAGTATTGCATATCAGATTCCGGGCCCTGGTCAGGCTTAGTACAAGTTTGTTTTACATTTAAAGTATTCGAAACTAGTACGCATTCAACACTCTGATGGGCTAGCTCCAATGAACCAATCAAATACTATTAAGCTTTAAGCATAGATTACTTTAAGTTTAAAACAAATTCATACTAGGGCCTCTGATGCTAACTTTGAAGAATTGAATATCCTTACCTGGTTCTCCAAGTAGTCTCATCCTGAAGTCTATGTAATTTTCTTTGTCAAACAGTCTCTCATGCCTGCCTGACCCAACTCGCACCACACCCTCACCAATGACATGGAAGTGGAGACCTAAAATATATTTTTTTATTATTACTACTACTTACAATAATTATAAATAAAAATAAATATATCATTACTACTTTTTTTTAAATGTCTCCTGTGTTGTGGGTGCGTTTACAAACATACAAGTTAACATACACATCACACCCAGACTCGAAACAATAATCTGTGGATCATGCAAAGAGTTGTTCCGTGCGAGAATTGAACCCGCGATATGTTGTGTTGCAGCCAGTTGCCCAGCCACTGCATCAATTGTGCAGTCAACTTACCATATTATTATATGGTATGTGATTAATTAAATAGTTATGGTGATTCCTTGTTATAACATATATGTACTTATTATTTATTAACACAAAAGACAACAAATTTGTTGTGGTGGGACCTAATATGGGTCCCACCTATTCCAACTGGAATTTATTCCTGTCAGCCTGTGGCAGGTAAACTAAGTACTTTTACGACACAAGTAAGTCACGGAGGCCCATAATCAAAAAGTGAACTGTCATACACTATTGATGTACAAATAAGAAAGTATTTAGAAAGCTAGAGTGCAAATAAATGAAATGATTATGAAGACAGTAATGTCAATCTTCAAATAGTCAAACCACACATGCAAGTAGAATTGGTTTGAGTTTCACGAATGACTGGGTTTTATTTGTTTTACAGTTTAGTATGTGAATTATTTCTAGTATCTTCTTATGCCTGTGCATTTTTTTTTATTAGCGGTTTTAATGTTTTTAATTGGGATAAGCCTTGCCTAACCATTGCAGCTCCTGTGAGCCAGGATGACGTATCACATGTACCAGGAGCTTGAATAGCTATCTTGTATTCAAGAATAAATTAAATACAAAAATATCTTTGATGGAAAGAAAAAAAAACAATTCTTATTACGTCTTATAGCAGTAACATTGTTAAAGTTACACGGTATTACAAAATGTGTAATAAAACAATAATTATTATTATAACAATGAACTTACCTAACACAGGTGTGTCATCTTGCAGTTCCATTAACACTTTCCCAGACAAGAATTGTCCCGGAAAATATAACAATGAAGTGTTATCAAATACTATGAGGAACTTGAGCAATTTGCGCGGCATTTTGGATCACTTCAGCACTTGATTACCTAACACCTATGTACACAGAAACAAAACCATTCATCAATTAGAATTTTAAGTACCTAATAAAATATTGACAAAGCATTGGAGTTGACAACACTTTAAAAGGAGTTACAGCTATTTTCATTAGCGTTTGAACGTCTGTATTATATAATTAATAAAGCACACAGGAAGTTTGTCCTCACATACCACAGTTTATAATAAATAAAACACTTAAGATTTTGTTAGATTATCAGCAAATAGAAGCATTTGAAAACCTTGTGGTTATGAAAGTCACGCCTACGACGAGTCAACAATATCTCATTAAACTTCTGACATCGTAGGTTGTGTATAACAAAGTTGAGAAATATGTTAATCGAAGGCCATCAACTATGACCACGACTCGTACCTTGAACAATTTGATAAAGAAGATTATGAATGAAATTCACTTTTAAATTAATCAAGGCACTTATTATTTCATGAATCCACTATATTTTAATTACTACATGTATTGTACGAAGTAAAATAAAAACAAATCTAAAGTTACAAAACTTTTTTGGAAACTTTGAAGTTTAAGTTTGATTTGACATTCCGTAGTTTCCTCATTGTTTCTGAAGTTTAAGTTACGTTACGTTCATTGAGGTTCATTTTCATTTAACCTTTTAAATATTGTAAACTGTTTTAAGTCATTGTCAGAACATTACAAAATAAAGCTTAGAAGCATATTTATGAACAAAAAACTAAATAAATACATAACATCATAACATCACGCCTATAATCCCCGAAGGGGTAGGCAGAGGTGCACATTATACCACTGTACAATGTAACACCCACTTTTCACTATTTATGTTATGAGTCCCATGTAATAGGGGGTGAGCCTATTGCCATATACCGGGCACAATTCCAGACTCCGTGCTACTACTGAGAATATTTAAAAACCCAGTAATACTTTGCCCGACCCGGGAATCGAACCCGAGACCCCTTGCCCAGCAGTCGCACTTACGACCACTCGGCCAACGAGGCAGTCGTAAATCGTCGTAAATAAATACATAACTAATTAAATCAGTCTAATAAGAATAGCACTTAGCGTTAGCTCGTTACAATCATTTCTTGAACGTACCTAGAACTTTAGTCTGTTATCCATTACTAAGAGTAAAGTGTCCAACATATTTCATTGGTTAAAGTATAAACGTCAAAATGTTATAGCCAATAGCATTTCATTACCGTTTACGATTTTGTTTGACAATTCATTATTCTAACTATTTCCGACACTGAAATTGACAACAAACTTACGATTTGGTAATGGGCGACAGCAGCTCATGGATTTGTTTATAAAATTGTTTTGAAAAATAAACGGCCTAAATAAGGTTAATTTGTTATTTAAACTTGTTAAGAAAATACTTCAAAATGCCGAGTGAAATGATAACATTACAACTCGGCCAATGCGGTAATCAAAGTGAGTAAAACATTGTCCGACTATTATGTTTCATCGGTTATTTTAAATTTGTTTCAAGGGTACATAATAACAATTAATTAATTTGTTAATAGTTGGTTTCGAGTTTTGGAAGCAATTGTGTATAGAACATGGTATTTCTCCTGAGGGTATACTCGAGGAGTATGCTTCGGCTGGTTCAGATCGAAAAGATGTATTCTTTTATCAAGCCGACGATGACCATTACATTCCTCGCGCCGTTTTATTGGATTTGGAGCCTCGTGTCATACATACGATAATGAACTCGCCATATGCGAAGGTATGGTATCTTTTCTGCAATATTTACTGCAGTTAACTATTTTCCTTGTAATTTCAACACACAATTTTATTTAATACTTTGAGCTTCATTGTTACATGCACCATATTAATATTACTTAGGTACCTACTCCCTGTTGGATAATTCTTGTTTATTATTTTCAGCTATATAACCCTGAGAATGTCTATCTGTCAAAACATGGAGGAGGTGCTGGTAACAACTGGGCATCAGGATATGCTCAAGGTGAGAAGCTGAATGAAGAAGTGTTTGACATTATAAACAGAGAAGCTGATGGCAGCGATAACTTAGAGGTATGTTAATAGATGCTCTAAAATTATTATCATAGTATTATAAAGTCATTTAAAAGATGGGGTGGTATGCTGTGTGTTCAGAAAGTTTATTAAGCCTTTGACTGCCGACAGAAAACTGCTGAAGGAAAATCCTCCGGTTGCCGGTGACCTATATGGCAGTTACAAGTATTAATTGCATGAGCATTGATATATCACAGCTTTTATTAAAGTCTTATCTGGATAATTAATTTGTGCTCCCTTAAGTAATGTTTTATATGCAGGTAATTTATTCAATTGGGTTAGGTACAATAAAAATCTTGAAACAATATTATTTAATCCAAAACCCCTTTTTTAATTCAATTGGAAGATTGAATAGGATACACTAATCCTATTGTATAATTCAATTTATATACAACCTACTTCAGTAACACAATGCTTCGAAACTTTAATAGACTTCTTGTTACAGGGGTTTGTGCTGTGTCATTCAATAGCTGGTGGAACAGGGTCAGGCATGGGTTCCTATATCTTGGAGCACTTGTCCGACAGGTTCCCAAAAAAACTGGTACAGACCTACAGTGTATTCCCAAACTTGGATGAAATCAGGTATGTTATAGAGTATAATATTTTACTGATTGTTAGATGTACACCACAAGATGAGTTAATTAACAAGCTGTCACTCTCCATTTACTCCATTATAGATCTTATTTCCATTGTTTCGAGACTGCTTTTGTATGAATAAATGTTGTGGATTTTTCATAATTGGGGATTAAGAGGTTGCATTGTGAACTAAAATATAATTATCTTCTTAATAGTCTAGCTTCAGTATTGGGTAAACCTTCTGCATGAGAATTTCATGAAGTATCTAACGGGTCTAACTGGTCCTTGTCTCCTGGTACAGTTTGTCCAGCAACCTACCATTGTAGTAGAGTTGATGTTTGTCCCATTCTATTCGAATAAATAAATAGATTACTATAATGAATAAGACTATTATTCATCTGATAAAGTCATCCCTAATTTATAGTGAAGAAACAAGTGCAAATAAACAATAAAAAATCTATGCCTTGATATATTTTGTTCAATGGCAATGTCAAAGTTAATTGGAAAAGAGATAAAAATTCCACTTTATGTAGTTTCAACGAAAAATCGATCGAGTCACGCGATGCGCGGTCAACGGCAATCGTTTTTAAGAATATTGCAATGTCATGGTTGTTAATGTTTTTATGTCTCACTTAATTGTTAAAACATAGTCGTATTCTTAGTTGTTAATACCATAACATCATGACTTTTATTGCTGTAGGAGTTGATAGAGATAGGAGTAGAGAGTAGTATGAAATAGAGTAGAGCTATTACCAGACTCTAGGCAGGCATAAATCCTGTTTCTGTCCAATATGTATTATGACTGAGTCTTACGACTCATTCCATTAAGTACTCTAAATTCTAAAGTTGCACTAGCCATCATTTACTGGTAAGGAGGCACGTCACATTCGTATTATGGTGTGTCCATTTCTAGAGAATGCGCCGATTGCGAGCCTTACCTACCTACATAAAAAACAATATTTTTTCTTTGCCAGTGACGTAGTAGTCCAGCCATACAACTCCCTGTTGACGCTGAAGCGCTTGACTGAGAGCGCCGACTGCGTGATGGTTCTGGATAACACAGCGCTGAACCGCATCGCCAGCGACCGCCTGCACATACAGAACCCGTCGTTTGCACAGATTAACACGCTCGTCTCTACTATCATGAGCGCTAGTACTGCTACACTAAGGTAAGTACGTTTTGACCTACAAAAACTAGTCCTATATGGTCGGACCATTAAGTGTCCCTTAAAAGACTTAAATAGTGTTTGATAAGGTCACTCGAGTACTTTCAAGATACGGGACGATTACAATGTAATCCAAGAATTAACAATGAGTTTACTTTGCAGATACCCATCCTACATGAACAACGATCTGATCAGTCTTGTGGCGCCGTTGATTCCGACGCCCAGGCTGCACTTCCTCATGACCGGGTACACGCCGCTGACGGCCGACCATGAACTCAATACCGTGAGTCATAAATATCAAATTACATTGATGTATCTTAGATCGACAAAAACGTGTTTAAATCTGTTCAATGTATTTTGAACTTACAACAAATGGATAGAAAGTTGGTTATTACTATAACGTTACTATGATAATTAATATTATGTTACTTTCAATATTACGTTTTGTTTTCTAGGCGCCGAAAATTCGAAAAACAACAGTACTCGACGTAATGCAAAGGCTGCTTCAACCAAAGAATATGATGGTCTCACTCAGTCCAGACAGAACGAATCAACACTGCTACATATCAATATTAAATATTATACAGGTAAATGAAAATTTTAGCAGATTTTATGTAAATCAGCTTACACAAAAATAACATTCAATTAACTGTTTTCTTACGTATTTCAGGGAGAAGTAGACCCATCACAAGTACACAAGTCACTGCAACGCATTCGAGAACGAAAACTAGCCTCATTTATCCCCTGGGGCCCTGCATCCATACAGGTTGCACTGTCGCGCCGGTCGCCCTACGTGCACGCCTCACACAAAGTTTCAGGGCTCCTACTTGCCAATCACACCAACATATCATCAGTAAGTTTCTATTCTATTATTGTTTATACACTGATAAGACTCGCTTTTCATCAAGCGATGAGTCGAGCCTATTCGCCTTCATTGTTATTAGAGAATTGATAAAATCGAAACCCAATAGTTTTTTGCTCTGTTCCAAAATCAAACCAGAGACCTTTGCTTGTAGAAGTACACTCTACCAATAAAATACAAGACACACAAGAGATGTTGTAAATAAATAACGCATTATTTATTTTACTAATATGTAATCAAAGGCTTATTTGCATACATTATCTCTCGCCTGTTTACCATACCGGTAGGCAGACTATGGAACGCCAATCGCTACGATTCTTACATACATCTTTTACTTCATCAACAGTCATCAGTCTTTTCATGCATGCTCATCAGTTAAGGCTATTTTTAATTTAGCCTTTCTTTAACTCGTCGAGTACCGGTTTTGTAGACACAATTATAGAACAATAGGTTGCGGTCACCGGTGACCGCTTGGTGTTTGACAGTTTAATACTTATTATCAAAGTTATTTACTTACACATTCATTTTTTTTTTCAGTTGTTTGACAGATGTCTACAACAGTTCGATAAGCTACGCAAGCGCGAAGCTTTCTTGGAGGTGTTCCGCAAGGAGCCGATGTTCAAAGACTCTTTGGAGGAGTTTGATGAATCTCGTGGAGTTGTCGACGACCTCGTACAGGAGTACCAGGCTGCAGCCACGCCAGACTATGTGCATTGGAATCCAGGTAAATAGTTGCTCACATAGTATACTTCAATAAAAACTAAATAAATCTTTTACTGCTTACAGTATAATATATCTATACCTACTACAATGTAGGATGAGTATTCTACTGTAATATTGCGAGCCGTGGACGATGTAACGGCTTGCCGGGGCTATGGTTTAAAGAGCAGTAGTAGAAACAGGGTGGTTTTTAATTCCGACACTCTGTGGAGAAGTCGAAGGCTGACCTTACTTCCCCACTAACAGCAAAACCGTATTGTAATACAAACTTATTTTTCTTTTTCAGAGAGTAGTCAGATATAACACTGCTGGATAGATGAAGATGGAACATAATATGTTAACAGGACTGGATTGAACGCACTGTGAAAGGAATTCCAAAGGAGATGTCAAGTGGTGTTATGATGATGTACCCTCGGTTGATAATAATTTAAGTTTTTTGTTTTAACAAGTGCCATTTATTATTGTATTCTTTTAATCTCATTTTGTTAACATTGTTTACTCGAATATGTTATGTTTTGATGCCATGGTATAAGCATTATTACCTAAAACACGCACAGTCTGAATAAAAGTCCGCTTTTTTACCAAGAATTTATTTTATATTTAATAGTAGCTATCTTTTCAACATTCCCTTAATCCATACCATTCACTTATCACTCTCGTGCGAACGTTACACATGTGGTTTGTACGTCCCGATTATTGACACGCAATACAGACTGCTTTACAATCTATTTTATAGACGAACATCAATATTACGTGAGTAAAACATGAAACTAAGAGACTGCCGACGACAATCACAACGTGAAGTTTAGGCGCATTCTAGGAGCTTAGCAGTGCAAGCATTACCATCTGGTAAAGTAAACTACATAATATCTAGGCTCCTAAAATGTACTAAACACATCCAAAAATTGCGCAAATGAGCTACATGTATGTATAAAAATAAAACACTTGCCCAAATGGTTTCTAGTCTACGCTCATGTCTTGTGTTTAGCGCACTAGAGAGCAGATCTCAAGTCCATTGTCTTATTTTAATCCTTATTCATGTATTTTACCCTCTTATTTACTCAGTACTATGGCATATATACAGTCTCTACTGCCATCACATTGAAATATTACTGGATACATAATTATGGGAATATATTGATATAACATGATTCATCTATTTCTAAAATTTTTTTTTCTTTAACACATTATGTACATTACTGGTTTTTAAAAAGTGATGACAATACATTCTACAGCAAATGTTTATATCTAAAAGAACATATCTATATCTGGCCATAGAACAAAGATTCAACCAATCTAACATTGAACTACTTGTACTAATATTAGCTGGAATAATTTTACTTATTAAAATGAACATAGCCAGTTGTGCTGCATCTGATGTTATTTTATATTTCTGCCATATTTCATTACTTATCACTGGACCATTTAGAATAAATATTTTATGAAAGTTATTATTATAACATTTTTTATTTGGATACAATAGACCTCGCAAATACTTTGGGCAAGACCATGCAATCGTCACTTTCACAGAAGTCAAAAAGTTCGGTAAATATGTGTATGCGTCATGTTAAAATCAATGCAGCGCGAAGCATGAGTAGTATACCACAAACAACACCCGTTTACAGGCATGTTTGGCAAGTGATGACATTTACTTAACCACTGGCACATGGCTGGAGGTGAACAAGAATATGACAATATCATTAGAACATACCTAATTCACACGTATCCTTAACACACAACATTATAACTAATTTATCAATTTTATTATACATCAATATAACAGCTGTTCTTATAAAAGTTTTGTTTAAATTTCAACACAGACTAATTACGAATCACAATGTAGATAATTAACTATCAATCAAGGTGCTAAGAAAAATGTTGTGATGAGAAATGAATTAATGCGACTTAGATAAACATTTATATAAAAATAAAAGCGATGCCAAGTGCGACGCGTTACTTGCAAAAACAAAAATGTGCCCTAATATACAATGACTTTCTACAAGATTATTAATAGAAACAAATAAAATGTATGTGATTAAAATGTGATGTACTGCAATCATTATATCTATCTCATACATTTTATAGATCTGTTCTAGGCCTCACTAGGAAAACAATGCATGCAAATAAATGATAATAATGCTCATATAATAAGAAGCTGGACTGGGAATGTGCAAACAGTCACTTGCATTCTATTTACTCAGTGAAGCCATGTTTATAATGATTGTAGAAGAAAACATTGTACAGACCTTCTGGAATATTAGTTAGTGACACGGCCTAATGTCAACAACGGACACTGTGGGCTAGGAAGTCTGGCTGGGTGCCTGGAACTTGGGCTGGATGATGGATGTCTTGCGCAGCGGGACGGTTTCAGGAGTGGGGATGGCATCACCAGTTGGCAGCTTAGCAGGAGCAGCAGGAGCTTTGAATGGTTGAGCCAAGTTGCCTGGCCGCTGTTTAGCCATTTGGTAATCTCCAGAATCGAAGAACTTTTGCTGAAATTATAATTTTACATCATTAGTTAAGGTTGTTAAAAAGAAAGTTTTATAGAATAAGAGCTGTGTTATGAATACTGACCCCCTTAGCTAGCCTCTTCTGTAGGAATGCGGAGTGGCCTCCCGGTCCTCTTCCAAGCATGGCATTAGGGAACTTTGCCTTTAACTTTGCTTCCTCTAATTTTTCCAACTCCTTTGGCTGTAACACAATTTCAACAAGTTTGAACTCATAAAATTCATTATTAGAGTCTGTTTTAGTTGTAAAACATGTAACTTTACCAATAAATTACGCAGTGTTGGTACATCTGCCTAATTTATTTGTTACTAACTCTTGCCTGCAACTACAACAACAACAATTTTAGAACATAACTTATTTTTTGTTTATATTTTCCAAAACTAAAGTAACCTACGTTACTCTTTCGTACATCAGCTACCTGCCAATAAAAGTCTTGCAAAATCGGTCCGACCATTCCAGAGATTAGCACTGATTCTCTGGAATGGTCGGACCACGGAATTGGTATGTATATCGTAAGTATTTACATAATGCATATTTATACGAATGTATTAACAGACACACCAATTTTATTTATCTGTACAGATAGAAGCCCTACTATAATATGACTACTGATAGGTTACTATAAATGTACAATCTTCTCTTGATATTGTGAATAAATAAAAGACTAAGATAAATCACCAGTTTTTTTTTTAAGGAAAGTAAATTTTTATTTCTCTTTCTGAATGAAATAAATGATTTCTTTCTTCACTGTTTTGTAGATCATGCTTTGAATTAAAGAGTGTTGTCAAACACTTTTCGTCCGGATCTCAGTTGTGAGCAGACGTGCGCTGCCTATTAGTTAAAAATATTTTAATTCTTAAGTCTAAATATTAATCAGTTTAGATTTTATTACATGTGCAATAAACTCGCAATTTCAATACACATTTAAAAGTGAAAGTAAACGAGCGGTCGTCGCCGCCCGCGCTGGTGACTAGCGGGCCCTGCCCCCCGCGACCCTCGAGTGAAAAGGACCATCTCCATAATTGCCCTCTCTGTCACATACGTGGGCGTGGCGAGCATCGCGCAAATCGCTACGAAACCTGACGTCACGAGCTACGAGCTACGACGGCTACGGCGCGGCGGCTACCTGTGCTTCGATACGGACCGAGTGTTATTATTATAATTTGTGTCTGTTTTCCGAAAGATAGTAACTTCGATCGTTATATCATTATACGACAGCAGAATGGACCGTCCCAGCTTGGATAGATCCTTATCGGAAACGGATTTAGACCGGGTAGGACTGCAACAACCTGAGCTTAAAACGCCCCCCAACTTTGTGTCATCCCGGCAAAAAAGAAAACGTGACGAGGTTTCTGCTGATGATTTTGCCAAATTTAAGGAAGAGATGCAGTCTATGTTCTCCAAGATGATGACAGCCCAAGAGAACGAATTCAAAAAAAATGCCACTATACTCCAAGGAATACAACAATCAAGTTCCAACATCGAAAGTTCCATCGCCTTTTTGATGGCTCAAAATAATGAATCTAAGAAAAAAATTGAATCTCTAGAGGAAAAAATAAAAGAGGATAAAAAATATATTACTATATTGCAGGATCAAATAGAAAGTATGCAACAGGATAACAGAAAGGCTAATTTTGAAATAAAAAATGTTCCTAGGAAAACAAACGAAACCAAAGATGACCTAATTCATATGGTTATCAGCCTGTCGAACTCAGTGGGTTGTCCGCTTGACAAGACAAATATCTGTGATATATACCGAGTTCGGACAAGGAAAGAATTAAGCAACACGCCTATTGTAGTGGAAACAAACTCAACACTGATAAAAAATAACTTACTGAAATCTTGTAAGGCATTTAACATAAAACAAAAGGCGAAGCTGTGTGCCAAACACATGGACATACGCACTAACGAGGATACCCCTATATTCATCACCGAACAACTCACTGCAAAGGCTGCACGCCTGCACTTCCTTGCACGAGACCTGGTGAAGTCAAAAACCTACAAATATTGCTGGACTGCGTATGGCCGAGTGTACCTCAAAAGAGAAGACGACTCCCCAACCATAATAATTAGAAGCGAAGCACAAATTCAACAGCTAATTATCAACCAATGACTATATTATCATAAAGAAGTTCACTACTTTTATTACTACTTTTTTGCTTATTTTTTTAGCTCATCAAACTGGGTATGTAAAGTCTGTTACACTTACTTGACATTCATACAAATTACATCACTCATTCTTACTCTAAATATACATACAAACACATACACACATTATCAGTATCTTACATATTATACTGTTGAAGGTTTATTTACATGTAAATCAACTTTAATTCATTACAGTCATTTAAAGAGTGCAATATATGGATATAAAAACTTAAAAATAACTAAACAAATACTGACTAACATTTACAAAAAAAGGCAATTACTGCAATTTCGCTCTCATATATCCCTATATATCATAAATATATTGCATATTTCCTTACGGCTTCAAACACACTATATAAATAATACCCTGATCCTAAAATGTACCGTGTATTCTTTGAATCATAATAATGAGTGACCCTCTACAAACTATAAATGACCTCGATTATTTAAGTATTGCGAAAGCTATAGAATGTGATTGTAGTGAGCTTACTAACAACTATAATATAAATAAAAGTGACCTTACCATAATTTCCCAAAATATTAGGAGCATATACTGCAATTTTAATGACTTCATAGCAAACTTATCTTGCCTCAAGTTTGACGTAGATGCAATAATTCTAACTGAATGCAGACTTGATCGAAATAAACCCATACCTACTTTGACCAATTATCGTTCCTACGCTACTACTCGTCAACAAAATCAAAATGACGGCGTAGTGGTATATATCAAGGACACCTTAAAAGCCATTGTCACAGAATTAATTATAACCCATGCATCATGTCTACAGCTAAATATTCTGAATAATATTATTTTAGGTATATATCGTTCACCATCAAACAACAATGCGGAACCTTTTATAAACTCCTTGGCACTCCATCTTGATAACCTAAACTCTCAAAACAAAAATGTCATAATTGCTGGTGACATTAATATTAATATTATGCCTAAACACACGGAACAAACATATGAGTTTAAAAATAGAACTTCATACCTTGATATGTTATCGAGTCATGGTATTCTATCTGGTCACACCTTACCTACAAGGGAGGCCAATTGTCTTGACCACTTTATGTTCAAAATAAATAGGAAACGGCATTCTGCCTTTATAGCTATCCTACTGATCGAAGGGCTGGCTTCTACCTTGGACAAAGGTTAAGCATTGCCATTCAACGTGGTAATGCTGCCAGTCTTTTGGGCACCCTACCTCACGATAATGATGAGGAAAATTTTTTTTTTGATGCCTTATTATAGCTTATTTATTTATTATTACCTTTTTTTTAAGGTGTAAATATTTTAGTTCATAGTTATTTATATTTTAAGTTGTATATATTTTCATTTAGTTATAGTTAATATTAATTGTATATATAATAAGTATGTATTTTCAAATAAAGTTTATTATTAATTAGGAATTCCACTTACTAAATAACTACCAATTTGTTTGAAGAAAAAATAGTCTACCTACCTCTAATGTGAGATATATCATCAATGAAATGACAGCAACATAAATTGCTGGTGTCAGTGTCATTTTGACAGAAACATATCAAACAATCTTTTCGCTTTTCGCTTCATGTTTCTTATCAAAAGTCGGCGCGCTCAAACATTGTTAAAAAGGTTGTCAAGCTAATTTTAATGTAAAAGTCTTGATAAACTGCACTGGCAGTATAAAATTCCATCAAAATGGACACAGATACTTCTGAAACGGTAGATACAGATGGTTCAATAGTTAGCATTCATGTTCGTAACTTTTTTTGTCACGATAATTTGGAAGTTAATTTGAACAAAAACGTTAATTTTATTGTGGGTCGTAATGGGAGTGGCAAAAGTGCGATCTTAACTGCCTTAGTGGTGGGCTTGGGTGGAAGAGCGTCCGATACAAACCGTGGGAGCAATCTCCGCTGTAAGTTTTTTTAAGTTCATATTCTTATTATTCCACGTTATTTTCATACACACATATCTTGACACCTGTCTCCCATGGAGGTAGGCAGAGACTATACGCTATGGCGCTCAGCCAATTGCTGTGATTCTAACATACCTCTTTCGCTTCATCAACAGTAACTAGTCAGTATTTGTTTATTCCAGTTTTTTTTCCAGTTATTACCAGTGTTTTTCTTTCAATAATAGGTAATTATTTTTGACGTACAATTCTCAACTTCGACAACAAAAAATTTCCATGTCAAAACAAACAAACATGTCTGTGTCCCATTTAAATATGTATTAAATTGTCAAACACCAAGCGGTCACCGGTGACCGCAACCTATTGTTCTATAATTGTGTCTATAATGACGGTACTTGACGAGTTAAATATGTAATAATAACTACTTTATTTTACAGCATTTATTAAGAAGGGTGCAAACTCAGCCACAATTGAGATTAAAATAAAGAACAACAGTCCGCAAGCATACAAACACCACATCTATGGTGACTACATCACTATTGTGAGACATATCAATGCTTCAGGTGGTTCCAGTTATAAGATTAAGTCAGCTTCTGGTATGTAATCATTCAATTATAATTTTTTTCATACATAGGTTAGGGCTTTGTTAAAGTTTGTTTACTAACTTATGTGTGTTAATGTGTCTTATGTAAATCATGTTTTCTATGTAAATCAGAAAACAAGCTGTTTCCAAACTATTACAAGTCTTAGTCAATATTTGAAGTGACTGTAAATTGTAATATTTCATACTGATTCAGACTGTATACTGACATAATTGATCCATATTTATGGTATACTAGCTTTTACCCGCGGCTTCGCTCGCGTCACAAAAGGATAAAAAGCCAATGTGACATATACCAATACCCAGGACGCCATCTATACCAATACTTTTGTTTTCCCTCGGGAATATCAAATTTTTCCGGGATAAAAAGTACCCTATTATTTAATCCGGACTTCTAACTATACATCTGCAAAAATTCAAAGCAATCGGTTTAGTAGTTATGGAGTGAAAGCGGAACAAGCAAACAAACAAACTCACTTTCGTATTTATAATATTAGTAAGGATGTAAAATTCCTTAATATACCTACAGTATATCTAATTTCAACTATCAGCTTTGAGTTTTATTAACCTCTTGAGTATCTAAATTACGTTCTGGCATACCACGGGTACCAAGCCACACCCATATTGATTAATAATTTTTTTCTAGGTGAAATAATCTCAACGAAATATGACGATGTGAATGCAATAACTCTTGCCCATGACATACAAGTAGACAACCCAATATCGGTTCTAAACCAGGATGATGCAAGAAGTTTCCATGCATCGGATGCAAAGAAAAAATTTGCATTATTTCGTAAAGCCACTAATCTTGAAGTTACAGAAAATAATTATAAAATAGCTTTAGGAAACTGTAACAGGGCTAAAGCAGTGTCGAAGAGAAAACTTGAAGTAAGTAGCCAGTTTATGTAAATTTTTTCCTATTGAACCTCACTTGTTACTGAGTGAGTAACAATAGGAAATTATAGATACTGCAGTGAAACAGCAGGTTGGGTATCCAGAACTAACTTACTACACAAAACAGTTGTGTTACATCACCTCTTAAGTTTGCGAGTGAGAGGGTCTTTCACGGTTGAGCCCACCCATTTAAGTTGCATAAAACAGCTAGACTATCACAATATGTTCACAAAAAAATGTTTTAGGCATGTGCGGAATTGGAAGAAGAGTACAAGAAGAGACAGGCTCAGTTGGATCAGTGGAAATCTCGAGAAGAGATCACAGCACTCTCAAAAACTCTCCAGAACGAATTTTACTGGAGCGAAGTAGTCGAGTTAGAAAGAGAAGCAAGGAAGATACAAGAAAAGTGTGACAAAGAGAAGGCCACTATGGACGAACTGAGGGAGAAACTCAATAGTATGGAACAGAACTATGGCAGTAACACTAGTGCTATAGAGTAAGTGCTTTACATAAACATTTTATGCTTTTATTTTTAGATAATGCATCTGTATCTATTTTGTGGTACTTGTAACTTCATATTGTTGTTTGTTATACCTACTTACTAGCTTTCCACAGCCCTCTTGGACTGCAGTATTAATTTGTTTATGTTAAAAACCACATTAAAATTTGTTTAGTTGATTTTGAAATTATTTTGAACAGACAAACAACTTGATTTACTTATTTATGTGAAAGACAGTTTTGGCATAGATAATCTTAGTTTCTTTCTTTCTCATTGACATTCCTTTAGTGAGCTGAAAAATCTTCTGAACGAAAAATCTGCAGAAAAATCTACGCTTGAAGAACAGCTTCGTAAACTAGAATCAGAGGTGAATAGCGTACAGACTTGTATTAGAACTTCACAAAACAACACTTCTAAATACACTGACTCTCTGAATAGAGAAAAAAGGAAAATTGCGGACTTGGAGAGGGAGATACAAAATATCGGGTAAGTTACACCAACAACTAAATAATCATTATCACTTATCACCATCATTATCCATAGCCTGTGGGAGTCTACCACCGGATTATGGGTATGGCTCTACAAAAGAGGGGTTAGCCATAATCACCACGCTTGGCAGGCGGGTAAGAGATAGCAGTTTAGAAGGATCAGGTTCATCAAAGAATGCTGCTACCTCTGTTAAATATTTAGACCCTTAGTTTCTCACGACAACCATGGAGAAGAAAGCGAAGCTTGTGGCAAATGTTAGACACCGGACACTATACACACTATAACTACCTAACGGGTTACCGTGGCTAAGGCATGCAGGAGAAGGAACGGGGTGGTTTTTAGTCAGTAAGAGTCTGACACTCCCTCCCGCCTCAGACGGGAGCAGTAATTCGATGATATTCCCCCCTTATAAAAAAAAAATACACACTATAACTATTTAGGTATATAAAGGTCACACTTAGCCAGCGCGTCTCCAACCCAATTAACTTGTGATTTAAATACGAACTTATATTTCATAACGTAAATACATAAAGCTGTAAGCGCGCCGATAGAGCGCCGTGCGCTTACAACCTTTTTGTATTGTTTCTAAAGCAAAAAAATCCCCGTATCGCCTTGCTTGTTACGTGTGTTAGGACCTTATTCTATCGACCGACTGGAGTGGGGATATCCGTATCGTGTACTCGTAGATATTATTATCTGTTAGGTGCAAATAGATTACTTTAAATAAAATTTGTGAATCTGATTGATCTATGGAGTTTCTTTCTTGCACGTTCTTCTCCATAGGAATCTACACTTTGGAACAGGGACTGAAAGCGGTTAAGGTATAACGGTACGGTACCGGTATAAAATAAGTGTACCGAAATTAAAGCTATACCGGTATTTAACCTTTATGCGATAACGGTACCGAAAAACTTAGATTTGACCGTTGCGAGACGTAAAGCTAGGACATCTCAATTCAACTCAGCACACCATAAAATATTATAACGCGAGCCGCATGTGATTGTGTCCAGAGAACAAGCCAAACTAATGCAATGCGATGAAATAGGATAGATGATCTAGCGCGGTCAATATCTCTCTCATACCTTTATTATTCAGGTTAGGATACTGGTACCGAAATATACCGGTTTTCATTTCATACCCAAAAATAGCGGTACCGAAATTAAATTTCGATACCGAAATTAAGCGGTAACCGTTATTTAACGGTATGACGTCATACCGCAATTTAAAGGTATCGTAATTTTTCGGTTATTCAGTCCCTGCTTTGGAATGAACCGAGGACTGACCGACAAACTAATATTTTTAATATTTGCTTGTTGACATTCAAAGTGCCTTCCTGGTCTAATTGAAATAAATGATTTTGTCTTTGAATAATAAAGATTAGGTTTCAGTGAATTCTAAGTAATTTTTGTTAGTGATTTCTGCTGTTATTTCCTGGTTATTGACACCAAACTTGGTTGTATTAGGTTTTGCCATGTACCATGGCATTCAAAACTGGTCAAAAGAGGGTCTTACAATGGATATGCGTACCTCTTACTCTTCAGGGGCTTACCAAATGATGTTATGTTATGCAGGAATTACCAGTGCACCCGTTTGAAGCAAGAGTAGGAACGGGGTCGTTTTGTGTCAGTCAGAGTTTGCCATTCCCCTCTGACCCAGGGCGGGAGGAGTCAATTAATAATGTTCACTCTTAAAACAATGTTATTCGCAGTTCTGGTGAGGCGGAATCCCGTCGCGCGGAGCTGGAGAGTACAGCGGAGCGCGCGACGCAGGCCGCGGCGGCGACGCGCGCGCGGTACGACACCGCGCAGCACGAGGCCGCGCAGGCGCGAGACCACGCCGCGCACGAACAGGCGCTGGCAGAGCAGGCCGACCAGCGCGCGCAGCGACAGCGCTCCACGCTACGTTAGTATTGTTCATGGTTACTACATGAAGGGCATTGAACTTTGTATTTGACACTTTTCGAGCTTAATTTCTTCATAAAATGCTAAACGTGTCTTCAGTTGTTGGTATTGACTTGCAGAGAAAACTTAGCTATGTCTTGGCAATTGTCTTATAACTTTTACTCCATCTTTATTAGGGTTGAAAAACTTCTTTACAAAAATAATAAAATGCGTTAACAATACTTAATAATGCGTTAATATTAAACTCTTTATTAGCTACTCATTAATAGTATCTATAATATGGACGTTTTTCTTAGTGTTATAAATTCGCAATTCCATGTACAGTCTCACTGATCAATCCCCAAGCGGTCACCGGTGAGCGTTTCCACTAACTCCATTATAGACCTTATTTCCGGTGTTTAAAGACTACGTTTGTATAAACAAATTTTGAGGATTTTCGATACGCTATATCAAGTGACTTTAAAGTCACCTTAACAAGATGTATAATTGTGACAGAACAATTGAAGCAACAGCTACGCGAGCTAGAGTCTAGCGGCAATGACTCGCTGGCAGTGTACGGACCCAACATGGTGGAGCTGGTGCAGAGAGTCAACGCCGCCGCCGCCAAGGGACACTTCTCGCAGAAACCCAGGGGACCCATCGGTGTGTATCGTGTAGATTAAATTAAAACATTGTGCTTACAAATTGTGCTAAACAGAATTTTGTTCGACTTTCTCATCATGATCATCTGTCTGATGATAAATTATATTCTGACATTTCGTCAATCTCTCTCGTTCTTATTCTCCGTGTCTTGCTCTTTCTCTCTCTCTCTCTCTCTCTTTGTATTAAGAAATGAAGAGTCCTTCTTTGACTCAAAATACTAGAAAAATATTGAGTCAGATTGGAAACTCATCCCTCTTTCTCCATAGGTGCATATCTAAAACTCAGAGAGAAGAAATGGGGCGGTGCCCTGGAGCACATCATCGGAGGAAGCATTCAGTCTTTCTGTGTCAACACGCCTGATGATATGAGGAAACTCTTTCAAATAATGGAGCAGGTCAGTACAATAACATAATAAATTATAAATTAACCAGGAATATGTTCCATGTTACATTTTTATGCCTAATATTTTAAACAATAGGTATATCTAGATAACGGACTAATCTAGATTACTTAACGATTGATTATTAGAAAGTACCTGAGGTATTGAATTGTAGATATCATAATCGCTACTTTTTCTTATTGTCGCTAATAACTGATAAGTCAATTCTTCTATAATTTATTTTACTTAGCTTTGCCTGTTTTTAGTCATGAATTAACTCTTTATATGTGTTCAGCATTACGAGTCGATAAATTTATTTGTATTTCATGAAGTAATGATGGTTTAAAAATCAAAGTTTTGTTAATGTTCCGTTTTGAAACTTTTGATAAAACTACGTTTAAAATGACCGGTTTCAAAAACCAAAAAAATATTACTATTCATTATACTCACACAACACCCACTGAAAGTTAAATAGTTGGTGCCCCAAGTCCTGAGGCCTTACTACGACTTTGATTTACGTTAAAAGTATTTGAAACGAGTATGCGTTGGGCACTCTGATTGGCTGGCACCAATAAAGCAACCAATCACAGCGCGTTACGATTACTTGAAACGTAAAAGAAACTCGTACTAAGGCCACTGAACAAAACTATTTATGACAACTTAGGCAGGTGTATTTAGTATTGGGAAGTAATATTTTGTTCTTAGCATGTGGCACCAACTTCTTTCTCTATTGTGGTCTGAATATGACTCAAACAAACGGGGGTCAGCAAAATATAACCGTTTGATAACAAAAATAACATCAGACCCACGTCTATTATAATTATGTATTCCACATCCTAATAGGTATATGGCTCCCGGCCCAAGCCGGGTGTGACGTGCAGTAAGTTCCTGAACCGCGTGCACGATGTCCGAGGCAGGCGCGTGCACGCGGGCAACTTCCGATCCGCGCTGGACTGGTTGGACGTGGCCGACCCCGTCATTTCTAACTTCCTCATTGATAACATCGGATGTGAATGTGTGCTGCTTGTACCTGATCACGGTAAGTTTTTTATTGCATAGACGAGCTGACAGGTCCACATGATGGTAAACATCGCCACCCATGATGAAAACACGAAACACCAGTGCAGAGGATTTACAAGTGCGTTACCGGGTTTTTAGGGGGGTTTGGAGATTGGGGAAGGGAGGAATTGGGTCTCCGGTAACCTCTCACGGCAACATAACAAGCGTTGAAAACAACGCGGACTAAAAACTCCGGACTTCTGTGAGTTCGTGGTATAACTCCGGTGGGACCAGTCCAGTCGTGCCAATAAGCATGGCTGTTCCACACTTAAAAGCTTGAGTTCCAGTGTGACTCGTTATACCTTTCGGTGAAGAGAACAACCGATGTTTGTTTGTTTGTTGTGGTGTACACCTCGAGGAGAGACCGCGTTTAAGTAAACGTTATCTAGGTGGAGTGACGACATCTACAAGATGGTTGGCAAGGGCTTAAAACGGAAAGGGCTGGTTTGATGATAATAGATATAAACAATCAAACTTGCAAATCCTGATTTGATCCACGATAATATTTGATTGCGCTATTCTCAGTTTCGCTGAGACTATCCTTCTGAAAATAACATCTCCCTCATTGGTCTACAACGTTCTTGTGTCTCCGACGGTGTTGCCGGTGTACTTAACCTACAGTGATGGCATACCGTCACGTGGGTCATAAGCTTTGTTGCTAACAATACTATAGTATCAAATGTAAAAAGTTTTTTCGTGCGAGAGCCATGCTTCGGCACGAGTTAGCCGGCTCGACCGGAGTAATTTATTTATTTATTTATTTATTTCAGGCATCACAGGCCCATATCGAATACTATAAACTAATACATTAAAGATTTATAAATACTATACATACATTACAAACAAAATAATTACTCAATTAAGTACTTAATAACTAGGTCACACGAATAGACGGCGTCGTGTGTCGCACAGTGTCCGGTAGCCGACCTCGGAACCGTCGGAAGACTACCCCTCGCGGCCAAAACTCCTCTTTCATTAAGGTTGGCAGATGTTCAGTCGGCACCCTGACTACAAAAGACTTGAAGTCCACTCTGTGTAGCGAGTGCAGTTGCTCAACCTTCAGATGAAGCTTTGCCTTGATCTTGATGAACTCCACAATCTCCTCAACCTTTGTGGAGTCATGTAGGCGGGACACGTAGAGCAGCGTGGCTGGTACAGCAGGTCGCAGTAGATAATTGTGTCCTGTCAATGCGGTACCGCACTGATTGCGGCAAGTAGGCTTCCTCTTCTTCTTTCTTTCGACTAGGGTAAAGCCTTCCTTGTCGTTCTGGTTCTTTTTAGGAACCTCCTGATGCAGATCCGCGTGAGGATTTTTGCTTTGTTGGACCTGCTTATCCCCTTTTGCAGCTATGGCAGCGTAAACACGATTGGGGGTTGATGTACTCACACGTGTCGTAGCCTGTGCCGGAGGCGCTAGCCGTTCGGCGGGATGACTCACTGCAGCGCGTGCACGTGGCGATGCATGCGCCGTCGCCGACTCAAAACTGCCGACCGATGCATTAGCTGCACCGCGGCACATGTTAGCACTGTCGGTGCTCGGTGTCGGTGAGCCACTTCCAGCAACAGTGTTGCGTAATGCCATTAATTCCGCCCGAAGTTCTCCGATGGTGTTCTCTGATGACATCAGCTTGGACTGTACCTCGGCCAGGCTTGTTTTCAAGGATATGATGTCCTTGAGTAACCTGGTAACATCGACGTGATCAAAGGTGACAGGGGGCAACTTGTGCAAGTCCTTTGCCACGAATGCAGGCACGTCGTCAGGATCTGTCACCTTCAGCAAGGTGATAATGTCTTGCACGCTTTTCTCCGTTCCGTCTCTTCGGCGAGCTGGCATCTCGTCCAGTTTTCCAAGACATTGGAATAGCAACCTTTTGCCGCTACATATGTCTTCCTCCTTGAAGTTAGATTTGCAGATTTGCAAGATGCTAACCTCATCCATAGTGTCGATGGCATGCTGAATAAATGCCAGCAACTCGTTGGCTATGAGTGGTTGGGTACTCATACTTAATCAAGCAGCGGCAAATGCCGCGCGTTTCGCGAGTATTGAAAACACGACCGTATATGAGCACGCTTCGCACTGCACTCTGTAATACCGCGGCCTCACAGAAAACTTGCGTGAAGCAGCGCCTGCGTTGTGTTTTACCGAGTGAGTGGGGGTACCTGAGGCCCAATCCCCCCCCCCCCTCTTTATAACTGATTCTACCCCAAGAGGGTACCAACTGCGTTGGAGAATCCCTCTCTGGAACGTCCATTCTCAGAGCACAACTACCCTGGAGGGTGGACGTCCAGGCAATCTGGCATCCTGCGCATTGTAAAGCTGGAGGCAAGATTAAAATAACTATGGTACCCCCTACCACGCTGAACGTGGACTTCTGCAACATCAAGGGACTACACCCCAACCTCATTGCTGTCAATCACCTCCTAGAGACAGCAAAGTCGGCCTTGCTCTTCTTGACTGAAACGCAGATAAAATATCAACTCCTACCTACCTACCCTGGGTATGGACTGAAACATTTCTTCCTGCCTAGGACGGGGGTATGCGTCTACGTCAGGGACGATATCAGCTCTCGTCGCCTCAGTAATCTTGAGGGTAGGGCCTGTACCTGTCCATCTTATGGCTGCGTGTAGATAACGACGACCACCCTGTCTAAACGTGCGTATATCCCACAGCGGTGATAGCGAGACTGACCGACTCATGAAACACATTCAGACGTCTGTGGATCTTTTGCAGGGGCAGATACCCTTAGCGAAGGTGGTTTTACTTGGCGATTTCAACGCCCATCACGTCAATTGGCTTTGCTCCTGTAAAACTGACCTCGCGAGGAGATCCGTCGACAACTTTGCCGTTGCTTCTAGCACAATTGGTTACCACGCCCGCGCGAATAACAGATGTAGAGGGCCAGAGATCTTCACTGTTGGATTTTCTGTTGACCTCTAACACGGACGGCTACTGCGTAACCGTCGATGCCCCTCTTGGATTATCGGATCATTGCCTCGTCCGAAGATCTGTGTCTTGGACGTGGTCCCTGAGACTACAAGAGGCACGCGGTCGCCTTGTATGGTCTTTCTATAGGTCGGCTGGGATGGGATGCGATCCTTTTTGCATTCAAGTACCAGCTTCTACCTCTGGATCGCGTTCAGCGGCGTGCCGTTCGGATTGTTGGATGTCGGGATATTTCAAACGTCTAGACACCTCGGCAATGCATAGAGATGTAGCTTTGTTGTACATCTTTATCGCTTATAGCACGGGGAGTGCTCTGAGGAATCGTTTGATCTGATACCTGCCGCGTCTTTTCGCCATCGACCCTCATGACAACATCTCTACCGCCATCATATAGATGATTGGCAGGCCACAACTGTGTGCGTCTCTCCTAGCTTTCTGCCTCGCACAGCAAAACCGTGGAATGATCTGTCGTTGGCGGTATTTCCGAACCGATACGACCTTCAAACCTTCAAAAAACAGCGTATTCCTTTTTAAAAGGCTGATAACGTATCTGTGACTCCTCTGGCGTCTCGAGTGTCCATGGGCGGCGCTGATCGCTTACCATCAGGTGATCAGTGTTCTCGTTTGCCTCCTAATCCATAAAAAAATTTCAAAACTCACTACTAAACATACACAAACTTGCCAGAGAATGCAGTTAGTTTGGCGGACAATGAGGCCAATGTTCCGGAGAACTGCTCGAAGATAGTGACCCTGGACTCCACGGAGTACCACCCCGCACCAAACTACCGGAGCTACGGTGGTTCCGGCAAGCAGAGTCGCTGCCTACATCTCAGCACTGCAGAGAGGAAAAAGTAAGCCACTTCTTTACGTTTGTATAATTATGTATGTGGCTAGTGTTGTGGTGGCCTAGAGGAGGTCGCCCGCTTCTCATCCATTGGGTTCGAAACCTACCAACAGCAAGTACCAATGTCACCTTTTCCGAGATTTTTTTTTTTGAGATATGTCCTACTTCCTTATAGGACGTGGGGCAATTTTAATCCAAGTTCGTTATTATTATTATCGTTATTTATTATTAGTTTTTTCGGTTATTGAAAATTCTCAACAGTAGTACGGAATCTGAAATACAGGCCAGTTGTATTTTACTCCTAACATTATTATCGAAATCGGTTTTTACTTATACTTTACTTAATACACAGCCTTTGCGGTACAAAACTTCAAAAACGACATTACTTCCACAGGCAAATGGTAAGCGACATAAAAGATAAAGAAGCAACGTTGCAAGATTTGGAGTCTGAAGCCGCTGAGCGGAGCCAACAGGCGAAGCTAGCGCGGGAACAGGAGCGGGCCGCCGGGCGCAAGCTGCAGGCCTTGCTGGGGGAGCTGCACCGCGCGGACGGGGCCGCCCGCCTCGCCAGGGAGGCGCTCGGCCAACAACAAGCTCCGCAACATGCTGTGCTCGTAAGTTACTGGGTTTATTTGTTATGCTGTGAATGTTCCATTACATGGCTGTGTCGTTTTAGGTGAACTTTTGTTGAAAATGTAGTTAGGATGGATTGATATTATTATTATCTGGGCTTGAGTTTGCAAAAGAAGAACAATGAATAGTATAGTAATTTAGTCAATATTGTTAGTTATGACCTCATTTGTTACTCGAAGACCATTTGTTAGATTTTTGTAACTATTTACTTGGTTTATTTCGTCTAATTGTTTAATTAAAAAAAAAATATGTAAAAATAAAAAACCTGACCTAAATACATATAAAAAAAAACAAATATAAACAAAATCATTTCACTCGACACTGTCAAGAGTTCATCATAAAGACATTAATTTGCAACAGGTGGACGAGTTAAATATATCAAAGGACAAGATGGCCGCCTTGCAACGACAAGTGGACGAGCTTGCGAGCAAGGAGGCAGAGTATCGACAGAAGTTGGACGATTATGACACGCGCATGAGAAAGCTTAAGAAACAGCTTGGAGAAGTCAATGCTACTTGTAGAAGTACTAGGGTAAGACAAATATTAATATTCTGCAGGGAGCTAGCATGTAAAAGAATTTTATACTTACTCTTGAATCCAATTCCGATCGATCGACATTGGTATTGTGTAATTTCGTACTCTTGAGTCACAACACTAGCGCTCATTGCATCCGTATTGCGTCGATATTGAATGAACTAAATGGTATTAAGTTTGGCTTTATATTCCGTACTCTGAATGCTATTTTAACAGCTACGATTGTGGTTGTATAGTGTTGACATTGAATAATTATTGAGATTTTATTGGATTGAAATTGCATTGACATAGAGATTGGTTTCAAGAGTAAGCAACCAGTGAGGTTATGTATCTATGTACATATGTATATAATTATTTAGGAAGAGATAGACACGGAGCAGATAAAGATGGACCAAGGCGTGATGAAGAGGAAGTCGTTCGAGCACCATCTGCGTGAAGGCAACATCAAGATGACGCAAGTAGCAGTCATCCTCGAGGAGAAACACGCAATCATTAAAAAGAAAATTGAAATTGCTGAACGACTCTGTCCCAGGATGCCAAATCCTAGGTTAGATAATTTATTTGTTTTTATATCACACCCACATAAACTACAAAGCATTACCTAGGTACAACACGGAGGTCTCTGCGTACCGCAAGGTAGCTTTAGCTTTCGCCATATTCACGCGTTATCGGGTAATATATAGTAAGATTGAGAGTGCTTTGAACCTGGCTTAGTCTGTTCAATTATTTGACCAGACTCTGGACATTTATTTATTTATTTATTTATTTATTACACACACAAGTTAACATTACAGGTTTAGGACCCAATGCGATAACAAGGTATTATAAAATCTAGCGACACCTTACACCATATTAGACTTTACTAACTAATAAAGTAATCCAAACTATTACAGAGATAAAGAGAAACACAATCCCTGTATTAAACTTAATGAAATAAAGACAAATAAATAGCATTATTATTGCCTATCTATAACATAAATTATATAACAGAATCTTTGTGAATTCACTCGGCTGACAGGTAAAAACATCTATTTGCTCGTGCACAACATTTATATTATGGATAGCTTGCGTAACCGCGGCTTTTGCCAGTAAGTTCGTCCTAGCCACCGGCACCGCCAACAGAGGCGGACGCCGCCGCCTCCTTACATAATTGTCAGGTACCCACAAACTGATTCTTTGAAGAACATCTGGGTTATGTTCCAATCCCCGAATCAATTTCACCAAATAGGTGGTAAGAGTAAACTCTCGACGCACCTTCAATTGATTGTACCCGACCATACCCAGCACAAATAACGAGGGATACATTAACGGATACAACGGGTACACTCCATACAGCTTCCAATACAAGTGACGAGTGAATTTGTTCTGAACTCGTTCTAACATCAGAGAGTACTTATTTTCATGAGGCGCCCATATCATTGCGCTGTGCTCCAAGTGACTTCTCACTAATGCGTCATAAAGGGCCCGAATTGTAGAGATGTTAGTGAAATCTCGCGTTTGTCTCAATAAAAATCCTAGATTTCTATACGCCTTCTTACAAATTTTCATTATGTGCTCACGTAACAACAACTCCGGGGTCATGTAAACTCCCAAATCACGCACCTGTGTTACTCGTTGTAGAGGTGTATTTTCAAGCCTGTATTCATGTAGCTGAGGTGAACGCGCGCGAGTGAAACTTATCGTAGAACATTTTGACTCGTTAAAATACAGCCTGTTTTCATGACTCCATTGAACTATTCTGTCAATGTCATCTGCAAATAATAAACAAGAGCTATGTTTGACGACCTGTGGTAAATCATTTATCATAATTAAAAATTCGAGAGGCCCCAAATTACTGCCCTGGCTTACTCCCGATCTAGTGTAATAGGGATCCGATTCCCAACCATTGTAGTCGACAAACTGCTGCCTATCCTTCATGTAACTGGCAAAAAACCTATCTAACTGTGTCTTGCACCCAATCTCAACTAGTTTCCTTAATAAGATGTCATTATCGACGGTGTCAAATGCTTTTCTAAAATCAAAATAATCTGCGTCAACCTGCACTCCAGCATCTACCGCTGGCACCAACCTTGTCATAAAGCTAAGGAGGTTTGTTGCCGTGCTACGACCCGGTCTAAATCCGTGTTGTGAGTCCGAGATCTGTCCATGTATCTGTGCCTGTAAGCTACGCTGCACAGCTGACTCAAACACCTTAGCCGGAGATGACAACACTGCCACTGGTCTATACCCCTCAATGCTAGAACATGCCTTACCTTTAGGTACTGGAATGACTCTGGTAATTTTCCAACGTGTCGGAAAAGTAGCTAAACTCAGGCATGTATTAAATATATACCGCAATGGTTCTGCTAGTACTCTACTACAGTCTTTAACAAGAAAAGCTGGTAGACCATCCGGATCTGCTGATCGCTTGGCTTTTAAACATTCAAGGGCATTGCGTACGTCCTTGACAGTAAGCCGCCCCACCTCCACATCTGTACGGATCGGCAGCGGCGGCGTCCCCAACCGCGAACAACATCCCGTCGTCGCACGATAGCCGCGGCGATAGCGGCGCGCGGCCGCCCATCTCAATGCCGACGGCCAGTGCCGGGTGGTACTCGTCAACCGGCAGCATGCATATATGTTCAATATATACATATTATATGTTCAATTATTTATTTAAAATATTTTTAACCAACTTGAAGTAGGAGGAGATTCTATGTTTGACTCTCTTTTATTTACGGGGTATTAATATAGGATCTTTATTATTATAAATTATTACAGTCCGGCTACTCATGAATATGACTGTAGCATTTTTTCATAACCTCATTCTATTATCTAAGCTAGAGCTGTCCAAAGTATATGCCCTCGAGGGCTAATTAAATTGCTTACAAAAGCTGCCAGGAGGGCCAATCCAAAATATTTTCAGTTGTATAATGACATTTAGTATTGTATTCTTTACTCACAGACAAAACTTATATACAAATCATACACTGAATTTTATTATTGCTGTTGGACATAAGATGAAGATGTTGGGATTAAAATGTGTGTCGCGGGACTCGCGGGCCACATTAAAACAAGCCACGGGCCGCATGCGGCCTGCGCGCTTTTGTTTGGATAGCCCTAATCTAAGCTTTCAAAAACTTTGCACCTGTCTATATGTAATCTTTAAATGTTTACTTTCCTTGTTATCTAGGGACAAATTAACAGTGACGAATCAGTTGAAGAAATTAGAGGTGAAACTGAAGTCTATACGGAGTGATGCGGACGGACTGAGCGAGGCAGAAGTGACGGAGCGACTGGTCGACGTCAAGCGAAAGTACCAGCAGACCAGCAACGCCTTGAAACATTTGAAGGAACTTCTTGACGTGGTAAGTAATTGTACTTTTATTTTTAAGTAGAGTTGGTTACTGCCAGTCTCTTAGACTAGTCGCAGACTAGTAGCAGAGAGCAGTACCTCTGCTAGTGCCAGCAAGTCAGTTGAAAATGTTGCAATATTGAAAAAACATGACTGTTTCGTTGTTCGGAATCATAACTGTGAATTTAGGCCTTACGACACAGGGAGTCCTAGTGTGGGGTCCAAGGCCATACAAATATGTAACGTGAAGCTTTTTGTCAATAAACATTAATTTTATTTAGGTATTTATTTATTTTTAACCGACTTCAAAAAGGAGGTTCTGAGTTTGACCTACATGTATATATGTATGTTTGTGAGAACGATTATCTTGCGATTGGCGGAACCGATTTTGATGCGGTTTTCAGAAAAGTGTTTGGAGAAAGTTTTAGTATATTAATTAGCCAATTTCAAACAAAGGGGATTTTATGTGGGGGGGGGGGAATCATCGTATGACTTCTCCCGCCACGGTGAGGCGGGAGTGTCAGACTCTTACTGATTAAAACCGCCTCGTTCCTACTACTGCACTTCGAGCCGGAGCCCCGGTAACCGTTTACGTTTTTCGCGGCTTCGTATCGGCATCAGCCCTATTGGGCCGCACCCATGGTGGTCTGATAGCTCTTTGAGGCGCACGCGGGACGCTACGCGCCGTACGCTCGGGAAAAAGGGGTTTGAAGTCAGTTCTATTATGCGACAAGAACAACTACATAGTAGAAGTATGTTTGTGTTTTATTTATTAACATGTTATAATTCATTGTTTCCGTAGTTAAACCCGACAACAGATCACCATTTGAGAGACTGTGTGAAACGGCAGACCAGCGTCGTGAGGACAGTGGAACATATTTTTCAAGCAATCCTTCTTGTTAGAGGGTACAGGGTGAGTAAGATGTATTGACCTTTACCATATCGTTTTCGCGTTAAAGATGTTCTTTGTATAATCTATATGGGTATCGTTTATTCTGTATTTGCACGTTTGATAATTTATAATAGATATGTATCATCGTCCCTTAAAGAATCCTCCTCCATCAGACATGTTTCTTCTTCCCATGGGTGTCGTAAGAGATATCTATATCTAAACGACTGAACATTTCACGGAGATTCTGAACTTTCTACAGCAGTGCTGTGATAAACCTAATAGCCACACGTTTTATGTAGATGACACCCAAAGTACAACAGTGGACTGACCAAGGCAGTTTTTTTTACCAATAGCCCTGTAGCTAAACATATTATATGCACTCGTACAGGGTCACCTGGTAGTGGACCTGTCCCGCCACACGCTCGAGATCCTGTGCTCGGGCCGCGAGGGCAACAACCGCGCGGCGTCGAGCACGTCCTCGCTGTCCGGCGGCGAGCGCTCCTACTCCACCGTCGCCTTCATCATGGCGCTCTGGGAGTGCGTCAGCTTACCCTTCTGTTTTATGGACGAGTTCGATGTTTTTATGGTACGTAATTTGAAGGGTGAATAGTAGACTTGGGTCTTCCCCTAGATAGATAGCATAAAGAAGTCCAATGTATGGGAATTTAACTAAACCTCTCTGGTGACAAGTTTGGTATCTTTGGTTTGCAATTTGGTACCTATAAGCACATCCGCCTTCAGCTTTCGGAAAACTAGATCATTTTCTATGAAATATAAATTATTCTCTCGTTATTATCTGTAGCATATTTTCCTTTTTCTAGGCTTAAATTCTCATAAATCTATTTGTTACAGGATAATGTGAACAGGAAGGCAGTAATGGAGATGTTGATTGATCACGCATTGAAGAATACTAAGCGGCAGTACGTGTTCCTAACCCCACAGGACACATCCAGTGTTACCTCCGGACCAAAGATTAGCATACATTTGTAAGTTCTTTCAAGTATATTTTATGCTTCATTGTTAGATTATTGCATGAAGTTAATACGTTACGTTATTATGCATCTTTTTTTGCATTTCATTTCTTAACTCAGTGTACTTAGGTTGAACACACTATTCATATGTCATTAAGGTTGTAGACTAAACGATTTTTTCTTTATTTTACAGAATGGCAGACCCACGCCCTTAGCAAGTAAGAATTTTATACGTAATCCGATGGAGATTTTTGATTGATTTTTTTACCTTTGTTACATTAAGGAATTGTTATTTGATTTTAATGTTTGAGTACTTTTAAGATACTCGATTTGTATAATTTTTTAAGAAAAATACTGTTTAACAGTGAACGGAAATAAAAACATTTTCAAATAAATAATCAACACCATTTATTTATTAATACTATTTCGCCTTGAATTGACTGTATATACAAAATGTGATTGATGCAGTATTGCACTAATTACATCTGATTTACTTTTATTATCCATGACATGAGATCACATGCGATGAAGTCCGGCAAACAATATTGTAGTTCCATTTACAATTAGGTACCTTTTATATTACTTCAATAAATTGATATAAAAATAACTTATATCTAAAAATTCTAATCATTTTCTACTAAGGATATAATTTTTTAAATTATTCTCATATAAAGTAACAAATCTAAGTCTTATTTATAAGGCCAGCATTGCCTTAGTGGATAAGCGTAATCGTTCAACTTATTTCTACATTGAATTTTCTAAAACGAACAATACCCGGTTCTATTGGAGTTAGGTACACTGTACATCGTTACACATTAAAATACAATAAATCCATATAATATGGTGAATACAATTTGTACAACAGATTTCTTATGTGTTAGGGTCGTCGAGTGAAGTGAAAGAAAGTAAGTAAGGGCAGAGGACAGTCTTAATTTTGAGAAAACATGTTCCATTATTGTCGATGTCGAATATCAAGTCGCTAAGATTAAGTAATTGTTTTATGTGGATAAACTGAGATAGAATAATGCAAATATACTATTTTGAGACATGCAGGTATGCTTTGATTGCCGAACAATCGACTAATAATCGAACATTGAAAAGTTTTATCCATCACTCGAAAGTTTATTTGGCTAAAAAGAAAAGCAAAGTGAATTATACAAATCGGACACTTATGTAACATCTAAAAGTGGTGTATAATGATAATAATTATTTATGTAGTTAATCACTACTGCAATAAAGTACATGTGGGCCTGATACACATCAAAATTGGCCATAAACACAAAAACGTATATTGGGCACAATATTGTTCATGGTGGTGCAGTGCGAAATATAATACACGTATAATACGCGAATCATTTCCGATATATATATAAAGCATTTTTTCCTACTTAATGTCTAAGAGTAAGCTGTTTCGAGAGTTAGAATTTCATGCATTCAGTTCATTGGATAGTGTTCCACATACTCACGGGCAGTTTACACAATTCTACGCCATTTCTAAGTGTGCCAAATGAAACGATGCAAGGGAAACAAGTCTTTGGTTAAAATACGCCGCGATATAGTTTTTACATACAATAAGAATTTATATCAATATTAAATAAACAGTTGACTCAAAGCTCTAGTTATCAGTCTCTAGAACGTTTTGCGTTCTTTTATCATCAATTAGAAGAAATAAATTACGAATTTTATCAATTTATATACAAAACGTTGAGAAAATCAAGGACTTAAGTATACATCTAATTCACTAGTAAGTGGGAACAGTTTTTAAACATATATTATGTATAAGTTATTGAAATTTGATTTGGATACTAAAGATAATAATTACGATATAAAAAAACAACGAAAATGATTGTTTCGGTAACTCGTGAGTGTGTAATGCACAATCAAACGGCAATTTTTACATAAAGACAAATATACATACTTATAGATCAGTAAACTAACAATTAGTTAAAGATTCAGAATAAAGTATTGATTGAAAAAATGATTCATTGCAATGCATTCTTATTTTTATTTACATAAAAATATAATATTATGCGACCACGTCGATATTTCTTTGTGGTTTACCTAGCAATATTTGATCATACTAAATTATAAGTAGTGCTTCCAGCTGACATGGAAACTGTCGTAGATAAGATAGATGTTACAAGACGAGAAGACACAACCTTGTTTAAAATTATTATAATTGCATTTAAAAGTAATACGGTGGATTATCTCTACTTAAACATGTTGTGAGTGACAACATACATTGCATGGAATGTTTAAGCAGCATGTATTGGCTTAAGCTAGCTAAGTCCAAAACCATTGATATATTAGAATTTTTCAAAAGTAGGAACAATAATTATATTATTTACATTTTTATTTGTTGTGTGAGCAACATTTTTTTTCTTGTTACTTCAAAACTTCATGCAATACACAGATAGAATTTTACTTATTATTATATTTTACAATAAATCATCTGTGGAGTGCATGGGTTTCCTTGTAACATTTTTATTTATGAACTTAAATTGCTACTTATAAATAATTCTAACTCATTAGTGGTAGTTTTAGATCTGCATGGTGATTGTTTTTCATATTCAAAACAAATGGTACATTGAAAGTCATAGACAGATCTAAAGTAACAGCACACTTCAAAGAGATTTTGTTCAAGAAAGAAGGATCATCATGAATGGTTGGTATCTCCTCAATTGATGTGTTAGCGACATGCGCACACCGCGACATTAGTGCCCAGTGATGTTAGTAAGCAGCAACAAACACGCACTCACATTAGACACTCGCCATTTCTTATTAAAAATACAATCCAAATGCACTATTGGGAGATACCAGTGTAGATAGGCTTGTTACATTGCGATTTATAAATACAGACATATCAGTCGTTTCTACACAAGTCCATTTGTTCTGTTGAATAAAGTCCGTAACCTAAAATGTTGGTGGTCCAAGTGTGATGATGACAATTAAAGTGTGACAGATTTTATTAGTATATTATCTATTTCTTATTGAAGAAATTATATATTTTAATAGTCGCATGTACTTTAGTGAATAGTTGAATTAAATAGTCATACATTTTTATACTAATAAAATTAGTAGTGGGTTCCTCTAGCATAAGTTTTGCTTCATATAAAATAGACTTTACAGTATGTACTTCTGTATGTATAAGTCTTTTAAGTCTTCCAACTATGTTGTGAGTCAAGTATGCATATTATAGTCAGAATACATTTTCTCTTATTATAAGAAATTGATAAATTTATCCAAAAGGATGTTAAAAATTTCCGTGCTCAATGGCAAACAGTACAATAATAATAAAATGGAGCTGCTTCGCTCTTTGCTTGCTTCGGATGTCAAATTGTACCAAATCATAAGAGTATTACAACAACTGCTCTTAAAAAAACAAGTATCAGAACATAACAAAGAATACAACAAGACACACCTTAATATAAAGTGTATTATCACTCGGCGGACAGTCGCCGGACCTCGGGCACTGGTGACAGACCAGTGCAGTGGCGCGTCGACGGCGTCTTAGTCGTCGGAGTCTTCGGACTCTTCTGGTCGGACTGCGGCGGCGTCGGCGGGTATATGTGCTCGCTGTCCTGCGACGTGGACGCCGCCTCGGCCTGGGTCGATGACTGCTGTTCCGTCATTATCTGGTATACTTTATCCTGGCAGAACAAAAATTTAGCATTAGCATTGATAATAACCATTGCATTGTACGAGCTCAGTTGATAAATTATCTAGACTGGTTTAGATAATCGATTCGTAATACATAATAATATCGACAACATAATGGCGAGGTGTGGAGAAATAAGATAATTTACTTTTTTAATTATTTACTTTTCATTCCATTTTAGGTCAACAAAAATACACATAGAATACACACAATTGGTGTTATTGAATGTTCGACATGAATATTAATTAATTGGTTGTAGCGGTAGTAGCGTAGTACTCACAAACATGTCGAGGGTGACGTTGTGCGACTGGATGCGGTGGCTCTCGTCGAGGTTGACGTCGGGACAGATGAGGTCGAGGCCGGCGGCGCGCTGCACGAACTCGCCGTCGCCGCCGCGCACCACGCACACGGCGCCCTCGCCGCGCACCACGCGCACGCTCGGCGCCAGCCACCGCCAGCACGGCTCCAGCTCCTCCCAGCTGTACCCTGGACATTCAATAATATGCTTGTCACCATTTTTGTATCGTGAAGACAACACATCATTTAATTCATAATCATGTGAATGGTTCATTGTTATCGAGATTTGCATTGATAAATGACTTTTATAGCAGAAATGACAAACGTGTTGAATCACACGCGACCCACGCTTATACCACAAAAATATTGATATTTATGTATATGTTATGATTTTGTTACAAATATTATGTAGATAGTGTTTATAACTAATGTAATGATGATAATAATATAATATTGTACTCACCAGACACTCTTATAGCTAATTCTTTGGAGAACGCGTGTGCCATGGCCGCTGCAGCGACGGCACTGTACGGGAATTGGTTCACGTCCACATGTAACACTGCCAAGTCTATCAATTGTCCACAAATCACAAACTCCAGCGACGAGTACTGCGGGAACACGAAGGTGTATCCTCGGAGCGCGTTAGCGCCGACGTCACTCTCCCCGAGCAGCCGTCGCTTGGCGCTGCGGCCCTCGCTGGCGAGCTGCATGTACACATTCAGCCAGCTGTTGATGGTGATGGGAGTGATGCTCCACGATAATATCTTTAGAATGAGAAGTTCCTCCAAGAGTATCTCGTCCGTGGTGCACGCTCCATCAGTCACGTATGCGAACTCGCCGATTTTGGGTGGATAGACTTCTTCTACTTTCGCTGCTATAAATAAACATGTTATACCTGGAAGCAAAAGGTGTTATTTGTAATACTCGAACTATCCACAGAAGTACCTAATTCATTTCGTTAAGTCGATAGTAGTCGTAAGTTTTGTTTACCTATAAGCTGCAATCTGCCCTTTTGAACATCTTCTGTGTTAGATAGATATCTGTCGACGTAATCCACAGTGAGATGAAATGTTTCTCTGTGCAATTTGTATACTTCACATACCTGGAGAAGAAACAATATTTTAGGTAAATGTTTGTTCGTTACATAGCATACAAAGCGACATAAGACACTTGACGTACACGTACAGCTCAGCTGTTCAATAATTCATTAGTATTTGGGGTAAACATATTTAAACTTGTAAGTAAATTATGTTTATATAGTAAATAAATACTATCGCTTTTTAATTGAGCTAGATATGGTCGGCATCTTTTGACTACCATGTGATGCCATTAGCGTAATAAACAAAGCTTAATGGCAGGGTACGATCTTTTTTAATTTAAGAACATATCGAGAAGATAGTGTGCCTATCAGAAATACGTCGGCTTTTCAAGACAGAATTCAATCGCTTATCATCGACATCTCTAGAATTACTCAAAGCAATGTACCCTAACTTGTAGAACAATCTCCAATACAGTAAGAATGTCACACGTCATGTCTCCATTAACTATGTAGTTCGTGCCTATCGTAAAACACATTTAACATATTACTGGCCATAGTGGCCATCCTCCATTGTTTGTCTCGGGGTTATCTCTCCCGGACGTTGTAATGGCTAAAGCGAGATTAATTTCGGCCTAAGACATCAATTAGGTAAATTGTCTACTACACTGTTCCTGCTTCTAGTATTAAATGAAATGACGCATCTTACTAAAAGCTTTATGTGCACTTGAATTAGTTAATTGACATTGAAATAGTAGTTATAAAAGCGTAGTGTTTATGAATACTAAGTAGAGAATACAAATAATAGGACTACGTCTAAATACTTCAGTTTCTTTTACAATATAAAAAATCTATAAATAAATGACATAACAGTAATTCGGGGCAGTTTGTCTGAAACTTTGGTACGAAACAATAAACTGTTATCTAAATGTGTCTCAATCAATAAACGGGGGCCGCACACATGTTCTGTAGGGCCTAAAAAGTACTTACGTCGACTTTGGTTCGTGTTATTTATTTTTATAAAAAACTTGGGCTCGTAAGAAACACAATTGGAAATAAATATCTTTATTCTAGCTCGTGGGGTGTGTGTGTGGTCCGATATTGTTGAGGGGTCTTGGATTCGGTTTGCGATATGGTCCAAAGTTTATAAAGCTTTTTGATAGTAAAAGAAACCTGGAATCGTGCCTAATGTAGACTAGCAATAGGCTCTTCACATGTCATTTACGTAACAAATCTGGCGAATACGTAAAGAAACTGGGTGTTATGCAAAATTAGCTCATCTGCCTCTGTGATTACTATGACCGAATATAACTAGTTTCCGTTATAATCCTCGGGCTCCCATAAGTAACCGTTTCAATTCTCACACAGAAACCGAACTGACCTCACATTTAAGATAAACAGTGTCCTTTACAAACACCGGAAATGCAAGGATATTCGTTAATGTGATACTTTAGAATAGGATTGAGGAAAACGCGACCGAAATACGCACGCGAATCGTATAATTGTGAGACAGACGATGCGCGCAAAAACTTCAATACCTACAAAGTTAAATTTACAGTTATGTACCTAGAGTTACCAATCGATCGGTGCTTAGCGTGAAGAGGCGTTATTTCAAATTCATTATTTTGACTTCTAAAGTGCAATTAACCTTAGGTTATATTTACTCGCAATTCGAAAGAAATTGATTTGTTTGTATACCTTTTAAGTCTATCCTACTAATGAACTACGAACTATACCTTTGCCAGCTGCTGATAGAAAAGTGTTGAGGTCAAAACTTTGAGTGCTGACAGAACTGTTGAGGGGAAATCTTCTGCTATCGAGGTCTATGTTATCCCCCATTGCATTCAACGTGTTAAATAAGCAGGAACTTAGAAATACGTACGAACCTGTCGTACTTATTTTAGAATAGAATAAAATAAAAAATAATACCCAGTATTTGAACCATTGTAGCAACTATGTTATGATGATTAATAATTCGGTAAGATTATTGATAATACATATGTGAAAATATTAGCAAATTCGTCAACATTATGAAATAGGTGTCAACTTATGCAATCGTTTACTAGTGCAGCACTTATTGGCATTCTCGTTTAATTCATCAATATCACTCAATTACGAGTGCCTTTACACTACTCTGACCTATAACCAAGCCCCATTTTTTTGCCGATTCAACTTTAAATACGTTCCAAGCTTAGCCTTTTAGCTTATAATAACAGTTCATTAGAAAAAAGAGTTAAATTGTACCACGAACAATGGTCTACGTGCATTTGTTTTTGGAGAAAAAAAGAACAACATTTATAGAGATCATGTTTTTCTTTATCTGATCAAATAGTTGTATTGTTCAAAATGTTTTACGATACGATAATGGTATTAAACTCTGTTGTTCTTTTCACGTCTATAGGTTTAAGTAACACAGACAAAATTATATTATCGATAGCACAATATCTAGGATTCGGACTCCGTTTTTCATATAGATTGTCACGATTTCATACTTATTCGTTACACAAAGAACTGCAGTTAGTTTTGTTATCCTGGCTGGCCTCTAGACTGGCCAGACAACTAGGATAAAAATAGAGCTTAAAATCTCGAGACTAAAGTTTACGGGACGACGTAAATGCAATTTAATAGTGGTTGTATGTTAGATGAGCACGCTATCAACTCATCAATAGTACGTATACGAAATTAATGTACATTTTATCTTAGAAACCTTATCATTACATGCTTACAATAGAAGTGTCCCACTTTCCCAACAAATTAAATTAGTACCTGCACTGAACTGGCACATAAATAGTACGCTTCTTATCTACAAGAAGCAAAGCTTTGCGTTAGCTGTTACGTTCAAGTTCCATGTACGGTCAAACAATGTGCAATCATTCAAATATGTTATTGTTGCTTTAACAATTACGCTCATTAGATAATTACTAGATTTATTATAGAAAATCCATATAAACTGTTACAATGCTACGAGTATTGCCAATGCGACATTCCGGATGTTCGAAAAACTTCACAGCTTTCAAGTGAAGGGCATTAAATATTGGCTTCGTTTTCTTAATCTATAATATATAAAATTCGCAAGCCTGAAAATTATAGCTAAAATATCCGGGTAAGCGCATGGCAGACTATGAGAAGCAATAAGAATATTAAAAACGCCACGGGGTCAATGGCACTTATCGACAACGAATTTGCCGATTTGCTGATGCGTTTGTGACCTTGAAAACCTAATTATTTTTTTTAATCTACAATATAATCAATCGTAAATAATCTACAAATGTTATAGATAAAAATAAAAGGGAAATCGCTGAAGGTAACATCTTCAAAACGAGTTGGTTTAGGGGTCAACGAACACCGCAAAAAAGAGGTCAATGACCCTATATTCAACATTACTTTATACCATGTGCAATTGAAAAATCTTACCTCAATTTATTCAAAAACCACTGTAATGCTGCATGAAAATAGAGAGGATTCAAATGTTACTACATTTTTTCCTAAAAGTATCATTACCCAGGCACTCATTCACACAGAACTTATACTAATGTTTTTATACAAATTATAATGATAATAATATGCTAATGCTGCTTGTCTGTCTGAAGATAGTGTCTGGCTGTAAATTTAAAATCTACACAACACCTGACATTTTCTTTAAATACCACTCCTGTGGGACCTAAGAGAATAACCCATACACCATAACACCTCACAGAACTGGGTTTAACATGATTACATTTTCTATTCTATTTTAAGCCTAAATCTATCCACAGCCAATGATTATACAATTATTAAGTAACTAGTATAAATACCAAGTTTTCATGAGTGATTAAGTAAACAAAGATATATCTTACCTCATTCAACCAATCCAGCAGAATAGCTCTCATCCTGGGTTGTAGATTAGGATGATTGTCAAACATGTTGGGGTTCTTCTTATTACTAGATCTGGCATCACAGTCACACATATTGTTCCACACATCTTCAGGGTCCGCCCAGGACAAGCCAGGTAGAGGACACTTGCGTTTAGGCAATGTTGGGCATGGTATTTTACTGGTACTGCAACAAATATCACATGTTACAAATACACATGAATGTAACACTACTTATTATGCACATTTGTATAACTGTACACATCACTTGGGAAGGTCAAATGAGAGTTAACTTTTTGCATACATACTTATCTATTATCACAAGCAAGCAAGCCCTTGCTTATTACTTTAAGGAGAGGTAAACAAGGCTACTGTGTCAATACCAGCACTTGTGCACTGGTTTGGTTATCAAGATTCTAGGTTTTAATGAATCGGTGATATACATGTCACTAAACTTACCTAGGCCTCTTATTTGAGTGTGGTGTGGACTCGCCTCTTGCCACATTTTCCAGTGGACTAAGCACACAATTAGGTAGATCGGAAATACTAGGTGGGCTTAAGAAACTATCAGGGTTGTATTCTATGTCTGTGTATACACTTCTTGGCTGGTCTGTAGTACCATACTGGGAGCTCTCATCATCACTGGAGCATGATGAAGATTCCACCACTACATTGTGTGCTGGTTGGTCAAGGAGTTCATCTTCAAGTACCGATGAGATCTTCACCGGTGGCATATTCTCTACCTGCAACAAAGTAAGGATGTTACCTAAGTAACATTCAAGTTTTATCAACAATAAATAGGGATAATGAAACTGTACAAACCTCATCGTCTGTGGAATCTCTTTTTCTTTTCAAGGTCAAACGTTTTTCACTGGATTCACAAGAGGAACTGAAATAAATTCACAACGCCATAAGTAAACAAACCCCTACCACCAAGGTCAGTATCTGACACAGGAGTAATAACACTGCACTTACCCAGTTTGTGCCATTGTAGTTGTGTTATTTCAACTGGCACTTTATCTCCACAGCCTACAACAAAACCAAGAATTAGTATATATTATCATTATTCTGTTATCGGTCATCAAAACTTGGTTTTAGTATCCTAAAATTACCGCATGTCATGTTCAACTTGTAAATAGGGTTATGTCACTTGACAACCGTAATTGAGGGCATAATTCCAAATTTATCATGAAACTCTTGCAGTCTATTTTAATAACAAACTCTCTACAATGTATTGTACATCACTAATATAAAAGATTTTGACGTAAAACACCCTTTATAGGTGGATGATCCCGCAGCGTGCCCCCTGCTGATTGGCGGGAGAATTTTTTTCAGAGGCTGTTTATGGGTCATAATTTCAGAAAAAATGACATATTTGAGGCTTATATCACCACAAGAATACATAAGCTTCGATTTAAAATGATAAAAATGTGGAAATACATGAATCAGCTGCGGTAAAAATTGCCACGAATCCGTCACAATCGCGCGCGAAATTCTCCCGTCAGCGCCATTAGACACGTCGCAAGCTTGGGTTTCTTGGCACATCCACTTATGGAAATTGATAAAAATAGCACACGGACGATACAATATCATCACATTACTAATAAATTATTGAAATATAACTATTTATAACGAATATTTCCCTCTAATTCAACTTAACCGTTGACAGTATAATTGGCTTGGCTTATCGCCCACCAAAGGTTTATAACCTAATTATGCCTACAAGCTAACGATTTCTTTTGAAGTATTTGGCTGTGAGAGATATGACATATGATTAAGTAATGAAATATTAATCAATTTCATACCTGATCATTCACAAATTGATCCAAATTACACAAAACGTACTTTACACATATACCAGATACGATGCACGAACTTTCAACACATTTATGATGGATTACACTGTATTTTGGTCACATATGAGACTATATTCACTAAATAAACGATAAAACTGCACAATTGTTGTAATTCTTAATTTTTCATGATACTTTACAGCTTTTCACGGCTCAATAACGCCCGGCTTTCCGCGCGAAAATGTCGCGGTAAAACTTCGATGCCCAGCGAGTTAACTAGTAGCTAACTTCATGTTTGTTTCTTCTGAAAATGAAACGTCAGTTGTGAAATGTAATCCATTACATGAAGAAATTGAGCGTTTTGTTTACAATGATAAATGTTTGTTTACTTGATCAATGTATAATTTTACTCGTTAATGAATTTTTTTACGGCTCTAGTAATCAAACTTATAGAAGATTTTACCAATCCTCGGCCGATTCAATAAAAATCTTTTCAAAAGTAAGTTTTAAAATTATACATTACTGTGTTTTGGTCTACTATTTGTCTTTATTTTCAAACGAGGTTGTTTATAGTTACAAAATAAAGTAAAAATTTTAGAAAATGATAAAAATCCACCAACACCTTTATCAATTGTTGTGTAAAACGGATCTGTGGCTGAAGACCAACGCTTCTTGTCTATTAGGTAAAAAATGCAACTAGCGCCACAGTGCTACCACAATAATAGGCTTAATGTTTGTCCTTGTTGTTGGCATTTTGTCAAACAGCTAAGTTCATGTTGTATCTCAGCTGGTCGCCAGCTGATAGAAAATGAGCGAGAAAAGTCAATAAAGGTGCGCTATTTCGATATTGATAACGTGGCGATACGGTGACATATTTATGTATTATGTGAACGGCAGGTGAATTTATAGTGAATATCGGTCATATAACATTATGGCGGTTCAAAATATAGCAGTGAAATTATGTGGCGTGCTACAAGCGCAGGGCGAAGAAGGTAACTTAAAACACAATTATTGTCTTTCTATGACACTAGCAAACAACACAACCTTATGAATATATGTAAAAAAGACTTTCTTAATAAAAATAATCAAATAAGCATTAGTTACGAAAAATCCAGCTTAACTTTGTCAATAGACAATAGGTACACAGTCGACGTGAAATGTCGCCACTAATGTATTGCACAGTCTACTATAAATTGGTAATGTTATTATTGGCATTTCATGTTTTGTTAAATTTTCAGAGGTAACTGCACGAGAATGGCGTCTCTTGGGCCAGGAACAAGACGGATCGCAAGTCCTAAGCTGGGTGTCAGATAAAGATGGCAAAGAGGTTTTAAATATTGGATCATATACTAATAAGAATAAAACATTGATTGTTTTACACACTTTCGATGAGAAATTAAATATAATACAAGCATCTGTGAATGCTACACATACATTACTTGTGTACATTGTGAAGAAACTTTCTAATGAAAGTGATGAGAACAAGGAAGCTTTATACTGTCCCTATTTGATCTGCTTATTGCCTGAGAGTGATAGGACACCTGAAGCTGTAGAGGATCCGTCTATCAAGCAAATCATGGTTCAATATGTTTATGGGAAAAGTACTAAGTACAGTCCCGGGATAAGGAATGACAGATTCTTATTGTTCAAGCATTTGGAATGTAAGTTTTAGTATCCAACTCTCTAATAAACTTTTACTTACACTCGTAAACATTGTCAGTCAACACTCAACTTTTGTCAATCGAGTTTGGTTAAAACTGGGATAATTGTTTTTGTAATGAAATCACCTTACTAGTTTGTCTATCCTAATACCAAATATCTTAATAATTTCAGCCTTGCATACATACATAAATAATTGTCACACCTCTATCCCATTAGGATAGACCGATTTTATCAGTAGTTTTATGTGGAAATTGTATAAAACAAACAATCTCAGTAATATGATTATGCAATAATCACTCAAAAAGTGTAACACAGTAATTAATCTACTAAATAATAATTGTGATGTATGTGGGTCATCATTGGCTAATAACAGACTTACAATACAATATTATTATGTCTTAATCATCAACAAAATATGCTGCATTCATTAGATTATTTCTGTCATTTAATTTTACTTCTTTTTTTACTAATAAAATCACAGATTTCGAGCCAACTCTGGCAGTGGGCCAGGGTGTCACTGTTACAAAATGTATGGTTATTTTTCTAGGTATCAAAATATACCGGACCCCCATGTTTCTCAATGAATGTGATGATGGCACTGACAAATGGGGTTTTGATGGCATTTACCCTGAACCCGAGAAGATTGTCAAAGTATTCTCATGGGCACAATGGGACTGTGTTAACCAGGTAAGCAATTAAAAGTAATTTGAACAATAAATCAGACGTGTTTACATATTTTCTTTGAATTAATTCAAGAAAAAAGTAAACACTAATAAATATGATCCTTATGAACTTTGAAAGCTAATATTTTAATTATAATTGTGACTACAAATGAAATATTTTGTTACAAAATTATCTTGAAAAAGTATTCGTCGGTTTCCGGATTTGAACTCGCGGACATCGGTATCGTGTTTTGATCTAACGCCACAAACCGCAGGGCTGTCGCGACTGCCTAGATTCTAACGAAAATAACCACCACATTGAATGAGAGAGAGTCGTTAACCAATAAAACTATTAATAAAATTTAGATAGATCTGCTTTCTTTACCCAATCATGTCTTGCTGTGCTTACCTATTAATATTTTGTTTCTTTGGAATAAAATTAGAACTACAGAAATTCACGTACGAGTAGGTAGGTACCGTTAATAACTGCGTAGCGTAGCGAGACGTAATTTGTACGGTCCTCGCTGAAAACGCTCATATACATATCTAAACCTTAGCCAAACTTAGAACTTGACCGCGGTCCCATGCATGCTTGATCAGCTACTTAATAACTTAGGTATATATTTAGATAAATATTAATACAATCGCACAATGTCTTGTTCCATGTGGGAATCGAACTCATGACAGCGATATGCTGTCTATAACATCACGCATCACATTATCCCCAAAGGGGTAGGCAGAGGTAAACATTACGGCACATAATGCCACTGTAAAATGTAACACCCACTTTTCATTATTTATATTCAGCAGCCAGTTAATCGGAATAGTCATTGCGCCAATCATGCAGTCGTATTTAAGTACTTACTTGAAAAGTCGTCACTTTATCCGGACTAAATTGTATATTTTTTCCAGGTGTTGTACTACATACACTATAGGCAGCCGACGCAGAGTTTTGCCGAAGGTGAAGAAGTGAAATCTCCGTCGGAAATGACACCGACCTTATCCGCGTTTCAGTTTCACGCCGACTTACCGCACGAGACTGTTGTAAGTATTATATATACTTTAATTAACTAATTAGGTACATAATTATGCTGTTTTGATAAATAAGCTAAGCACCATTAGGCTAAAGACATAAATTAATTAATGATCTCGACGAGGTATCTAACTGGAGCTATGTGCAAAGGGCAGAAATAATTTGTTTTTAAGCATGACATAAAATTGCAATACATTACTGGATAACTCAACATTTTATTACTGTATTACAAAACAACATCAGGTGGTTGGTTAGTCTTGCATTCATTCATAAATATTTAGATAATATTATGTTACTCACTAGGTGGCATGACACCCGTTAGTAACAATAGGTGACGACTTGCGATTTGTTCTTCCAATCATTATTTCTATTTTTAGTTTAACTTTCGTCAAACATTTAAAATAACCAAGAATACCTACAAATCTGAATGAATGCCAATACTCAAACTAGGTAACTGACTAGCCACTTTGCCAATTAACTAAACTTTTGTAATTATACTTTTACATATAGGTAGGTACCTACTATTTAATTTTGGCAAACGAAAGTTTCGGATACCCAACGTATTTGCGTCATCGCCTTTGGGAATAAGGGATGATGCTCGAAACGATGGTACAACGTGTTAAGCAGTTTCCCGCATGGTTGGCAACAAACTTTTGCCGCTTCTGGTGTTGCCGGTGTACTACAATAATCATTATACTTTGTTATACACGGGAATGGAAACAGCGAACCGTAACACCAACAGTCTTGTGGTCCAACTAACACTTAGTCAAAAGTATTTTCGCATTTCTTTTAACGCATTAACAAGAACTTACTCACGACAGTTGAACATCCCGTTGAGTTTACCTCACGTGTCGAGCTCGGGCGAGGGCGCAGCTTGCGGCGCGTACGAGGATGACCCCATCCCTCTACGCGTGCACGACTGCAGTCTGGACCTTCAGATTGTGTGCGATCAGAAAGGCATCCTATGTATATGCCATCATTATCTCTATAAAGTAAGTGGTTTTCTCCTCAACATAATAAATCTTATGGTTCCTATATTTTTACCTACTCATTTAAATCTTGGTTCTGACTTATCAGTAGGTAGAGCGATTCTCAAGGAAGTAAGACAAATGAAGATTTGAGAACCACGGGCAAAGCTGTAGACAGCAATCTAGTAGCATAATAAAATTAAAACCATTTTTTTCTTGTTTCTTTCTTTCAATCAAACAGCCTCTAGATGACTCCACGACGTCCTTGGTGCTGGAAGACAGTGCTGACCTGAAGGACTCTGGAGTGAACTTTGCGTACTCCATCACACTGCTGCAGCATGGATGCGTGGTCCACAGTGTGGTACCTGACCTGCCCTGGTCACTCGCCAAGTCTTTAAGACCGTCCTATACTCTCTATGCTGGTGAGTATTTTGCCAGTATGGTACACTAAAACCTAGTTTTAAATTTTGATGTCGATGTCAATGTCAATAATACAGATCTGTTTGATCTGTTAATATTTTTAAATTTCCTTCCGATTATGAATTAACAGTTGAATTAATTAATATCTGTTTATTTACCTTATTCGAAATTCAATGCAATGTTTTGCCTCATATTAACCATTTTTAAACAATATAACGTTCAAAATAATTTGTA